GAACCCATTAAAAAGGTTTGTTTATAAATATTTTATACAGATAAAGGATTTTAAATCATTAGGTTAACCATAATATTGATTTAACTATGATTTACTATCTTTATTTGACAGCCAATCATAATAAGTCAGACACTAGAACTACTCATCTATCTTAAAAATTTTAATATTTGCAAAAATTATTACATTCCGCCGATTAAAAGTCCTATTTTCTTCTTCCATTTAAGCCAAGTATGTAAAGTACCATCTCTAAAGTGGCCCTATTTCCACGGTTTTTATCTCTACTCAAGTCTAGCCTGGCGGCATTTTCCCCCCTACACTGCCCTGCATACCACTTAATTGCCGCTTGACACGATGTTTATGCTTTTCCCCCCTCTCTTGGTCTTGATAAAATTCCAGATAAGATAAAATTATCTGTTCCAGCTGCAACACAACTAATGTGAGTCATATGCTAAATTGTTTTTGCCTAAAACACAATCAAATCTGAATTAAATCAGATCAAATCAAATCATTTCCTCAATTCAAGCAGAACAAAGAGAAACAGACACAGATATTCCAGTGATAAACAAAAACAAATAGTTGAATCAACAAGCTGCCAAAGTAAAAAGATATTAATTAGTCAGCGTTGCAGAGGTGGAGGAGGGGCAAAGGGAGAATGATATGAAGGGGGTATATATACACTCTAATGAGAAAACCCAAACACGTTCCACACATCCGATTCCGATTGCCGGTCTTCTCCGCTTGGTTGGGGATCCATGAATTATGCAGCCGGCATATGGATAAAATATATATTTAAAACATGGAGAAAAATTATTGCAATTATCCATAAGGGAAATTCTCGATTGAATTTATATAATTTGATATTTTATATATGGCAAAAAATTAATTAAATATATTCAAGAACTCTAGGAAGTAGGCTTATCATAGCTATGGGTCCTTCGTTAAATACATCTTCTATAATACATCTTCCTTATTAATATATAACAAGTTATATATATTTTCTCACCGTGTAGCAATGATTTATTAAAGAATAGCAATGCAATTGTCGGGTTGTTGTTCTTGCCTGTGGTATCAAAGACCTGTAGTTATAGAGTCATTAGACAAAAGAACTGTGTCACGAGCCATTTCCTTGGCCAAGTGGAAGGAAGCTAGCGGTAACCGAGAGAGAGAAATATGAAGGGGATTCGGAAAAAGACTGTGGATGGTGAGCAAAAGGAGGAGGAGAAGAAACAAACTTGTCTCAAGATTCCTAGCTCTTCATGTTGGTCCCGCATTTTTCCATAACTCAACTATGGACTGAGCTCAGATTCCGAATCGGATGCAAACTGAATTCGAATGGATTTTATTGGATGGGATGCCGCCGCCATGAGAGATTGAGAGTGGGAGGAAATGGAAGTGGACAGACGACGGCAACAATGCGGAAATGTTAATTGGATTTGCTGTGGCATCCATGTGGGTGGTTCTCAATATATCTCTTATTTCTCTCTCTCTTGCAGAGTTCAGAGTTCAATGCATCATTGACAACGAGGCCCTCTTTGTTTGTTTATTTGTTGTTGTTTTTTTCGTCAACAGTTAAAGCTGCCTGATACAACACCGATTGCGGGTTTTAGTCACAAAAACAAAAAGTTGACGCGGCCAGTTTATGATTCAGATTTTAAGGTATTTTTCCCCAACACTGCTGCTGCTTCTTTTTTAGTGCATCAGGCTGAAATACCTGGAATTGGTTTTACCAAACTTTTAGTCATCGTAAAAATGCCAAAAACAAAACCAGAGCAACGATATGTAAACAAGCGACCAAAGGGCTACGGGCTATCTTTCTTTTTTCGCCCTAAATACAGTGAAGCTTGGAGCTTGGGAGATTTTTATGATAACCTGAGAAGGTAGAGCATACATTTTTTTGGGGATTTTTTTTAAAAGTATTTTAGAGATTTTTAGAAAAAAATGTTTATATTTTCTTTTTTCAAGTTTTTAAAAAATTTTTCTGAGTGGTTCAGGATATCCTTCTGCTGACTTTAAAAATGTATAAGCTCTCTAGTATCCCTTTTTACATGTTTAAAGATATATAATAAGTTTTTTAAAGTGATATAAATTTCTTTAAAACTGTTCAACAATTTAATTTTCCTTATAAATAAAACTTTAGGAGTAACTACTGTAATTTAAGGCTGATAAAATGGAAATGGGGCAGTAAAAAACAACAACAATAAGTAGAGGCAGCAGATTGTCTGTTTGTTTAATAACCAAAGCGAATCGTAAAGAGGAGGACATGTGTGTTTGTTTGTTTGTATTTTTTTTTTCCTGGTGTTTTCCATTCTTTTTCGGGTTTTACTTAATTTTCTTATCTTATCTGCCAATAGCCACGCTCCCAATTGCGCGCCACACAGTGCGTGGAGCAGCTGGAAAACTGGGCTAACGGTGTTCAAATAACTGTGTCGTCACACCCTCATTTCTTCAGTCCCTCTGAACACCCCCTCTCCCTGTGCTCCGCTGTCCCTGTGCCCCTGTTTTCTAATGCAACAATTACGAAATCTGCGTTGCATGCGGCCATCGGCCATGTGTTTTTTGATTTGGTTTTGCCCAAGGGAAAAGAATACGAAAAGGGAATACAAACGATACTAGGAGAATAAGGAGGAATAGCGTAAGAAGAATGAGGAGGAGTAGGAGGAATAGGTAGCGAGCGGCATGCAAATTTGACCAACATTGTGCATTTCCAAAGTACAGTGGAACTTCCGCAATACGAATTAGCATATGGTTAAGTACTTTCAACTAGGAAAATAGGGGAAATCAAAAAGTATAATCCTTTAAAAAACTATAAAATTATTTAAAAGTTATGAAAATATGCAAAATATTCAAAAATAAAAAAAATTAACTTTTCTTGATTTTTGACTCTGATTTTTTGTCCATTTGCAAACGGGTTTCCTATTTGTTATTGCTGGTTTTGGCCCAATGAGTGGAGTTGTATTGTATTGTTGGTATTTCCTTTTGTGTTTGCGGGTCTTTGGCCCGCTTCATTTGGCAACGAACAAAAAAAAAAAAAACAAAAGCATAAAAGCCGAAATGAGTCATGGAAGTTGGCTGCCATTTCAGGGCTAAAGGAGTTGTTATTGCTATTTGTTGTTGTTGCTGCTTTGGCTGCTGCTGCCGCTGCAGCTGCTGGTGCATTGACATTTAAATGTTTGCAGCAGAGGCAAGTAGGAGGAGGAGGAAGCCAGGGAAGATGAAGAGAAGGAGGCAGAATACGAGGAAGAGGAGGCATAAATTAAAGTTCAAACAAACACGGAGCCGAGAAGAAGAAGCAGAAGAGGAGTAGGAAGAGGAAGCAAAAATCGAGGCTGCCCCACCCGCACAATCTGCGCATCTCTCTCTCTCATTTCGGCTAGCTCCCTAGGTCTCTCTCTTTGTGGCTGCGTCTCTCTCTCCTGAATTGGCAGGTTTTTGTTTGTTTTGCGGCGAAAGAGGCAGAAGAAGAAGCAGCCGCAGCAGCAGCAGTTGCAGCCAAAACAACAACAAATGCAGCCAAGAGGAAAGGGAGCAATTAAAGCAAAGTTAAAAGCAAAGACCAGCTGCCCCACTCGCTCTCCCTCCTCGGCCCTTCCCCCTTGTCTGGCTGTCTCTGTCGCTCGTCATACCCCCCACAAACACAATAAAAACAGGTTTTTAAGCCAAACGAAGAAGAGGAAGAAGGCGCAGCAACAGCGGCAGCTTCAAGATTAACGACAGCTGTTTTTTAAGGGCCTGGCACTAATTAGTGCAAATTCAAGCGCCTAAATTAAGTAAACAAGAAATAAACAAAAAAAAAAACACTGTCCAGAAATTGCACTCGACACACACACTAGCACGGAAAGGAGAGGTGCGCAAAAAAGGGCGTGTTTGTATAGGAAGAAGAAGCAGCGGCAAGGGAGCAAGGAAATTGCAAAAAAGAAAAATTGAAGAAAGCAAGGGAAAACAAGCACAATTTCTGGATTAAAAATAAATATTTGCAAAAACAGAGGAAATCAAGTCACACACACACGCAACTTACCACAACATTTTGGTCGATTCCGAATCCACAGCGAAAATGCTTTAGTGTTTGTGTGCGGCGTCTGCTCCGCTTCTGCTTCTTCTCGTTCCGCTGCTGCTTCCTCCTCGTTGGCCAAAAAGAAATGCGAGAGACAGAGAGGGAGCAAGAATTGCAATTTCACCTCTCTAGCGGTTTAAAAAATTAATTGTAATTCTGATTTAAATAATTAATTTAAATGCTTGCGTTTTTGGTTGCACCACACACACACACGTCCGAACCGAAACAAAAGTGAGTGAGCGAGAGCCACAGAGAGAGAGAGCAAGAGAGTGGGCAAGGATGAGGGGAGAGTGCGAGAGAGAGGAGGAAGCGAAAAACTCCTTTTCAAGGAGTAGACACACGAATTTTTTTCGGCTCTCTTTCGTTTGCGAAATGGAGTTATATTTTGGTTTTTCCAGCAATAATAATCAATCGATTATTGTTATTTTTACCTTAATGGCAATAACTATAACTCGGCGGAGGAGTCACAAGTCACAGACACACACACACTCAAATCTCGCAGAGGATGTTTCTTTTGTTTTTCACTGAAACTCCGCTTGTTCTGTTGTTGTTGTTGTTGCATGCAATCACTTATTTAAGTCACACACACTCACAGCTACTCTTCGGCGACAGGCGGTGACATTTTCCGCGACAGCACCAAACAAATCAAAGGAAAGGCGGCGTTTTCCTCGTCCGACAAAAAACAGTCCGTGTTCGTGCTTTCCGTTCTTTTTTCACCGCTTTCCGACCAGAGTGACCAGAGTACTCAATGGTGTGGCTGTGGTTGGCTGCGCAAATATACCCTTTAGTGTGAACGTAGTGTGGGCTACGTGAAAATGCCAGCTTAATATCGATGTAATCGATTGTTCAGATTGCACAAAAACGGATATTTTTGAATGCAGACGTTTTTATTTAAATTATTTTTAAATAAAACATAATTACCCTCTTAGCCTAAGATTTAAACAAAACATTTATCCTACTTCCTTGATTGTTTTAATATACGCTTGCACAGTTTGGTAATTTAATGGAACGTCGGCGGTAGAAAAATTAGAATATTTATATAAACTAAATAAATTACGGCTCCGGGAGGGGAACCCCTCAGCATCCGATCTTAGTAGACGGCATCCCTATAACTCTGGACAAACTGCCGGACTAGACCGGGCAGCTCCGGTGCCCGACAGAGATACTTGTGGCCATAGTGTTTTCCGGACCCAAAACGATGGAACTCCACGGGTCCCCAGCGGCGACTCCGGCCGTCCAGCGCGATCCTGTACAGTCGATAGCCCAGATGAAAGGGCACCACCTTATCGTCCTCGGCATGGATGATCATGATGGGCTGTGGGAACGCCGTAATATGGATGTCCGACTCGAAGCGCAGCAGATTTTCGTACATCGGTCTCGAGACGGTGTAGTCAAACCACGGCATATGCTTGAACATCCTGGCAAAAGGATGATTCAGTATCTCTTCCCGGATGTTGGTAAACGGGCTCTCCAGGATCACCCCACGGGGTCCGCGCTCCCGCAAATTGGCTAGCTTGGCGCACAGATGTGTGGCCACTCCGGTGCCCAGGGAATGACCCCATATCACGATCGGATTGGAGGTGATATTGGCTATGTACTCGAACACCATCATGGCATCGCGCACCACGCCCTCCTCCGTGGGCGGCACAGGATCAGAGTCCCCATAGCCTCTGTAGTCGAAGGTGAACACATGATAGTTGAGGTTCCTCAGCAGCTTGTACACATCCGAGCGATGACCACTGCCCCGGGAGGCTGTGTTCCCGTGGAGATAAAGAACCACAGTGCCGCCGGACAGCCGCAGCAGACGCTCGTAGAAGAGCTGCTCGTTCTCGGGCAGCACGGTGGGGAATTCGGAGCGTATAACGGGAGACATTTCCCGCAGCTCCTGCTCGCCATCTCCAGGTCCAATTTCCTGCGGCTGTAGTGGCTCTTGCGCTATGGCTGCCTCTACATCAAGTTCCCGCTTGAAGCGACGCACTGCGTTGCGCGGCAGGACATGCCACACACCAATACGCACTCCATCCTCGTCCTCGTCGTGATCTTTGACGGTGATGTAAAAGTTCCGCGTGGCATACAGACCCACAGTCTCCGGCTTGGTGAGATCAAGGCCCTTGGGGTACTTAACTGAAAGGGAAGAGAGATCTGCATTAGTTTTAAAAAGGACATAAACCTGGAATACTTACTGAATGTAAGGAATAGAATGCCGCGCTGCAGCGTCACCGAGTAACGAAAGACAATGGGAAAGGCCACAAAGACCAGGAGGAAGATCAGCATACATGCTTGAAGGGAACGCAGTCCCACCCTGCGAAAGAGGTCAGTGGGTGAGAGGTGATCAGGTGACAGGTGAGTTTGACTTAAGGGGAAAAACAACTGCTTTTAAGTGACAAACACAACGTGAAGAAGGATGATGAAGTGTAAGAGTGATGAGAGTGTTTTGGGAATCAGGAGGTATATATACATTCAAGGAGCAAGCAAAGCGGATTTCACGAATGTACAAAAGCGGAAGCGGAAACGGAACAGAGCCGGCAATATCCGCTATATAGAAATATATATGTCACGATGTCACGATCAGTCAATTAATGGAATCTCGGGATATATAATTATATATATATATCTACAAAAGTTTAACTTATGCACAACATCGAATCGAGCTTGCGGGGATACTTACAGACCAGTTAGCCAACTAAGTAGGATCGTTCCGGGAATGAGTGTGGCATAGAAAACGGATCTTAGACAATTATGAAGCTCGTACATAGCGAATCCGTTCGGTTTTCTCAGCTTTTAAATATAAATAAATATATATATCTAGCTAGCGATATATACTAGTTTGTTCGGGAAGCGACTTAACACTGAAATTGTTACTGATTTTGTGCGTTTTTTTACGTTTCTTGTGCGTAGCTTTCGCGCGGAAAAAAAGAGAGAAACAGAAAGAGTTCTTTGTTATTGCTTGGTTATTTCAAAATTTTAGTTTCTTGTTTAGTTTTTTGTGGGGGGGCTTCCCCAGGGGAGCATGCGACTTGAACCCGAGAACTGTTCCTCTGGAGAGTAGCTGATAAGGCAATGCTATTGGGGCGAATTAAGGAGTGATGAAAAATGTATGGTATATCAACAAAAATATCGTAAATTATCGGAAATTTAAAATATCGAATATTCCATTTTAAGTAATAATAATTATATTATCAGAAAATATCCGGAAATGTTATTTTATGTATTCTCTTTTCCGATTATATCAAAATATATTAAATATAATATCGATTGCTACTTTAAAATATCATTTTATATCGACTTTCGCGTCAAAAGCACCATTGATATGACGATTTATTCTGCCGAAGTATGACTGGTTCGGTGATGGGTGTTATATGTACTAGCAGTGACTCGATTTTAGTGGGTCATTAAATTTATTAAAACAAAAAATTTAAAAGCAAATCATTATTGTTGAGCACGTATAACAATAATAATTAAAAACCGACAAAAACTGAATTTTTATGGAAGTCATAAGACACTACAGTTCAAAGGTTCACACAAAACTATAAAAATATTTCTGAATGGCCGAAAAAAGTAGCCTATCTATCAGTCGCTGACTTTCCACACAGCTCATTACGCACTATCTACGAAATTGATAACACATGAATAAGCAGCCATTACTACACAAATTAAGTAGCTTTCATTAATTTCATCACAAATTATTTAAATAATCGTTATTTTTACTATTATGTAGACACTTTTTTTAATCACTTTCGCTAATTGTCCATAAAATCGAGCCACCTTACCGGGTCAGCGGGCTTTGTGATAATGATAATGGGCGGTATTATGATTTCAGATATGAGCGCTACTCGGGTGTGACTAATATTTTTTGCTGGTTGGGGGGAAATCGGAAGCGAGACTACGGAAGCGGATTCATTGGGTCGGTTAATCAGGAATCTCGGGAAACAAACAACAACAACAAGAACCAGCAAGCACACACACACACAGAGATACAGCAACACACCTCTTGAGTTGTCGCCGGCGCGTGAAGAGCATAACTGCAAAGAGCCAAGAGAGAGAGGTACATAAAAAGGGTATCAGTGAGTCGGCCATGCCAAGGTCAAGTCAAAAGAACCGCCAAACTGTGCCAGGCGTTATCGTTGTTATCGGTGATCGCTTATCAATCGGTTTTTTAAAATTATAAATCAAAGAAATTTACAAAGTTTGTTTTCTTTAAATGTCGAATAAGCTTAACTGCTTGGAGCAACGACTCCAGCAAACTGCTGATCGTGGCTGCACAGTCAGCGTTATTTTATTTGTTGTTCGCCGTAACTGCAATAATGCCTTGCACTTGCGTTCAATTAACGAATAAATTGGCCTATTACTCTTACTTGAAAGAGAGAGCCTCTGTGTCGGCTTTGTTGTCAGGTGAATAAAAGCTGAGCGAAATGCGATCGGGAAAGTCTCTCTATACAAGCGGCAGCATGCTGACCTGTGGGGATAAAAACATAAGAAAAAGGGAAGAAATCCCATTAAGTTCAAGTGGGGTGGGTGTGGTCTGGGTGGGTGGAGGAGGTGGGCACCTGTCTATTGAAAACTAGGCTAAGCGTCGGGAAAGTAAGTTGAGTGACAGGCTACCACGCACACTCCCTCTTTCTAATCTCATTAACCCATAACAATACCACCCTCACATTTAATTGGCGTATCCATTTTTTATGTAATTTATTTGGAAAGCGATAATGGTGGAGTAGCACAGTTATCCAGCACCAACTTACCACTCACGCGCCAGCAACGGCTAGGTACTTTTTCCCTTTCCTGTTGTCCGGGTGGAAAAAGACCTGGGAAACCTTTATTTTCGGTTTTTACGCGGAGCAATTAAGGCCGCTTGTTTGATTTGGAATATTTTCTGCCAAAACAGCTGTCAATGTTGTTATTGACAATCGATGTCAAGCTAGAGATGGTACAAGTGACTGGCTCACACTATCGACATCACTATCGTCGTCATAATTTGCATAATTTGTGAAAGTTGTTGAATTTTTAATTAAGTTTTCACTACGTATGGAGATGGGAGCTAAAATGTTATTTTTATTTAAAAATATGTGTATTTTTTTTTAAATAATTTGTGTTTTATAATGCATACATTAAACGAAAGCTATTGAATCATACAATAATTAAAAATGTTAATCTTTAAATATACCGCATCAATTTAAAATGTATTGCAATTTTACGTTGAATTACAATTTTAAAATAAATATTTAAAATAAAAGTTATCAAAAAATTCCTATTTTCAGTTTGTGAAATACAAATTGATAAAAAAAAAACTCAAATTTATAAGTAATATTTTAATATTTTAGTGCTTATTGGATTTATTTTGTATGAGTAAATAGTTAATTGGCATAACCTCGATATTATTAACACTTAGATGATTACATAAACATATTTTATTACTTCTTTTTATGAATAAATAAGTCACAAGTAAATTTTCATTTTATAATACAATGCTGTCCAGTGGAAACACACTATTAAATTAGCAATATATCGATAAGCCACCGACTAATCGACTAATCGGCTATTAGTATAAACGTCCACCCCTTGAAGTTTGTTTTTTTTTTCGCTGAGAAACAAAAGATTTTCGCAAATTACTAGAAGACAGCCCAGCAGATTAGATTAGCTCGGCAGGCAGCAGCAGCAAGCAGCAGGCGAGGATGAGGAGCGCGGAAGAGATCAAGGCGGAGTATCCGCTGCACTGGCACATCTGGCACAACGAACTGGAGCAGCTGCAGGCGGCCATCGACCAGGTGAGTGAGGCGAAAGCGAGGAGGGGGTGGCGGCGCACAGGGTGGGTGTGGCCCCCAGGGCCAGGTGCTAATTGAATTAGCAGGGGCCGGGGAATTCTAGCCAATTGATAACAGCTAACGATTCGTCATCTTTTAGAACGATAAGGAGAAAATCGATCCTCGCGGCCGGACGCCGCTGATGCTAGCGGTACGAGTGGCGAATCTGGCCTGCGTCAAGTGCCTTTTGGCGGCCAAGTGCAATGCCACATACGAGCACGAGGGATGGTCCAGTGAGTGCTTACCTTTATATCACAAAAAACTCTTAACTTATAATATTCACCTTTTCTAGTTGTCCAGGAAGCCGTCTGCACGGGGGATGTGGACATCCTTACTGCCATTATTGAAGTGCGGGATCTCCAGCGCCATGTCCAGCGGGTAACGCATGTGCCCAAGCTTCTACAGCATCTCCTGGACGCTCCCGACTTTTACATTGAAATGAAATGGGAGTTCACCTCCTGGGTGCCTCTGATGTCACGCCTCTGTCCCAGCGACACCTACAAGGTCTACAAGCGAGGGGCCAACGTGCGGATAGACACCACACTTCTGGGCTTCGACAACAACACCTGGCAAAGGGGCAATCGTTCGTACATCTTCAAAGGAGCCAGTAAGATCCATAATTTCAATTTTAAAACTTATTAAAAAAGTGTTTCCCTTGCAGAAGAGACTGCCACCATGATTGAAATCGATCACGATACGAACGAGGTAATGGTGGAGCAAATGAGCAGCGATATTGGTGACATTGTGGCCATTCCGCCTGCCCTGGGAACTGTGAGGGCACGTCTCAATGCCCCGGTGATCACTAACAACATTGAGATGGACAAGATCAGTTTCGAGCGGAACAAGAGCGGCATTTGGGGCTGGCGCAGCGAGAAATCAGAGGTGATCAACGGCTACAACTGCAAGGTTTATGGAGCCAGCAATGTGGAGTTTGTGACCAAGACTCGAATGGATCACCTCAGCGAAGAGCAGATCAAGGTGGGTCCTGGAAAACCCTTAAAAAAATACATTTTTTTATAAATATTTTTAATTTTCTAGAACAAAACAGCTCGAACACCGCTGCACAGCCTTTTGGGCATTGCCGATGAGGACTATGTATCCCCCGCTGATGCTGCCGCGGCACTGAAAGATCGCGTAGGTTACAGGCTTCACCAGCTTTAAACAATCTCCATTTTCAAACCCATATTTCCTTCTCCCTGCAGACACCCTCCCCCCGCTTGGAGGAGGAGGCTTCCCTGGTGGCCGCTGAAAACGGCGGACGTTCCTCGCCAGCCCCTGGTCTGGCCCAAAGCAACGGCAGCTCTGCCTGTGCCTCTGGCTCTAGTACACCCAAGTCTTCTGTCACCCCCGAGGAGTACTTCACTCCCGAGGTAGATCTCCAGGGCAGAGATGTTGGCGGACCCAAAAATTTAAGCACAAAAGTGCAACGCTTCAAGGCCAACCTGTGGCTGGCCGAGGAGCATCCGATACGACTGCAGGAGCAGGTGTTGCCCATACTGGATCTCATGTCCACCATGGCCAGTCCGCATGTGTCCAAGCTGAGGGATTTTATCACCATGCAGCTGCCTGCCGGCTTTCCTGTCAAAGTGGAAATCCCGCTCTTCCATGTCCTCAATGCTTGCATTACCTTTGGTAATGTCTTTGCCTTAACCTCACCCGTGGAGCATGTGGCCACGCTGCAGGAGCAGGATCGTGTGACTTGCTTGGTGGACGATCGTTGCTTCGATGTGCCGGTTCACTATACCAATCGAGGCAGCGATGTGCGTCGTCAGATACCGCTGGACGAGGACGATATGCTGCAGTATGCCATCGAGCAGAGTTTGGTGGAGACGAGCGGCGCCTGTGGTGTGGACGCCAAGGATGATGACAAGGTGGATATCTGGGAGGTGCTAAGGGGCCAAAATGTGGTGGGAACGGATCTTCTCCCGGAGGATGATGAGCAATTGCAGCGGTAAGTTGAGGGGGATAGGATATACAAGGGGGTTTCCAGGGGTAGCGACATAAGTCCGCTAAAAAAAATGTCTCCGCCAGGTACATTTTATGTCGCTATCCCGATTTCCACATACTTTCTAGTTTGTTTTTGGTCACCCCAAACTAATGTCTGACCCATTGCCACTGCTAGTCACCAACGCTTCTCCTCGCACTTGCTCTCCCCACACCGCCAGCAATACGGGCGGTACTCGCCCTCGCCCAAGCACCATCCCCAATCCTTTCCCCACTCCCAGCTCTTAATGGAGCCACAGACCCGAGGACGTTCCTCTTCGGCGGGAGCTCAGTTCAAGAACGATTTGGGCTACATGAAGAAGATCTTCAAGTAGCACACAGAATCCCCCGCAGTCCCTCCTCCCTTTGTATTTGCTAGTTTTGATCCAAGCTTTGTATGTGTGTGCCCTTGTGCTCCTCTTCTCCCATTCGCAGAGTGCTGCAGGAATCGCTAATGGGCGCCCATGCAAATCCCCAGAGCGGGTCACCCGCCTCCGAGGAGGAAGACGACGATGGTGGCTTCCGGTTTATAGATCCCGACCTGGCCATGGCCATGCGACTGTCGCAGCAGGACCAAAGGAAGTACGAGCTGGAGCGACAGCAGGAGCAGGAGATGATCGAGCAGGCGCTGAAGCTGAGCCTGCAGGAGCACTAAGATCCTGCCAGCAATGATTCCAAATTGAAGTTCTTCTTAACCTTCTTCTGATGATTTCTATTTAGTGTAAACACTTTGGACTAAGTTGTATAATATAATACGAGTCTACCTTTAAGTTTAGCGTCGTCTGCAGCCTCCAACCCATCCATGTCCTTGTTTTGAATTGTGATACAAGCGGGACTCAAGCGGGAAGCGGAGCTCGTCACACTCGTCCACACTCGCAAGCAAAGGATCGTATGCCCCTTCATCTCTGACACTAACACCACATGTATCCAAAGTAGCCCTCGGTAGTCGTGTAGCTTTTGCAAAAAAAAAAAAAAAAAACGTATCTAGCAAGTAGTGTCTCCTAAAGTTAAGTGCGTGTGGTAATGGGAACATACATAAACACATGTCGCATATCCTTCGCTTCGGCCCGAAGATAGTGTCCTTAAAACAAAGGCAATATAAAGAATAAGATGCGTAACGGCATAAATTTTTTTTTGAGATTTAAAGGAAATGTATTTTCCAAGAAAGAAAATATTTAAAAACGTTAAAGGCGTCAAATTCAAAATCGAAACTGTCGCCAAACATCGTTAATATATTTATTTAATATTTTTTCATAATATTTCAATATCTCAAATGTATTCTTAAACATTTTAGATATTTTTACGCGTTATGCATCTTATTCTTTATATTGTCTTTGCCTAAATTGTATTCACTAATCATTAGCATTACCCATAATTTATACTACTAATCAACACAACAACCTTAAACCAAAAACAATATAAGAAATAAGATTCGTGTTATGCATCTTATTACTTATATAGCCCTTGGTCACACAAGCATCTCACCTCTTTGTGTAAATGAGAAAACAAAAAATAAACTATATATACATACATATATGAAATATGCAAGAAGAAAATGTGAGTTTATCTTTTAAACTTAAGTGTTTATTAAGCGCTATATACAAAGTAAAAAAATCGGGGACATAACTTAGGCTAATTAAGCAAAACACAATTAAAAAAAAGTCTCACGAGTTCGATTTGGTATAGCAGCCCTTCTTAATCTTTTCCTTTTCTTAAGTTTTTTTTTCTTAAGAAGCCAAGCAAATATAGTTTGTAATGAGACATAAGAGGCTTTATCTCCGCTGGCTTATCAGGGGCCAGACTTGGGTCATGAATAGTCTATATACATATAGGCTTGTTTAGGTTTTCACACAGATCGAAAGGTTTTTTGATCGATTTTGAATCACTTTTTCTATGATAAAGAAATTAAAATTAAACAGAATTTGGAAAAAAGTTATTTTTAAGATATGTTTTCTACATTTTCTATCTAAAAAATAAGGATTTATATAAAAATTAAGCTTTGATTTTATAAAAATAGTAATTTATATAAAAATTAAGCTTTGATTATAGACTTTTCGCCTATATTGCACTTTTGTGATCTATATTTTAAAGAAAAAAGGTTAATTTATAACTTGATTTTTGACTTAAGAGCATGATTGGGCCAAAGACATTATAATTACTAAGATGAGTAACGCCATAGGGTTTTTTTGGACACGGTTTTTTCGTGCTGGCCGTTACTCATCTAAATAATTCTAACATCTTTAATTGGGCATTCAATTTCAATTTTTAGAAAGAGCCGGAAAGTTTATCTAAACTAAAATTCTTTAAAAACTATTGTAAAAACCTGAACAAGCCCGAATAAGTTTACTTTGTGCTTATTTCTAAGGGTCATTCAGCTGGGCAATCACTCCGGGATTAGGTAAGTGTGGAGTGACCACCATTGTCGGGAATTGGGTATCGGTATTAGGATTATCCTTACGACTAGATGTACTTGAAGCACTTCTGCTTGTCGTGCGGGATGCGCGTCTTAAACAGGATGGAGTCCGCCCGGAACTGGGTGTTTAGCAGCGGCGTATAGCCAAACACCCGACTAAAGAAGTTGATGCACTTGTGCCGCTCCTGGAAGTGTGTGTCATCCTCGCTGAGAGAAACGGGACAACCCGGACAGCGGAACGTCCATCGGGAGGTCACCTTCACCGGCGGTTTTCTCGTTATGTGTGAAACCAGGAAATTCATGGCTATATCCTCGCAGTTCATATACTCATCCACCTTGTCCCTAATGGCCTGGGGCAGGTGATATGTGTACAGGTACAGGTAGTACTTGTGCACAAAAGCAGCGCCCGTCAGCACCATGCTGAGCTCGCAGCTGTAGTTGGAGTTGTAGTGCCACTGGCCATTGGGATTGCCCAGATCCCAGGCATGATAGCGTCCTGGGAAGCCAACCACTCGGTCGCGATGCTCACGCCACACACGGAATCCAAAAAGGATCTCATCGTGACGGAGATGGGCATCATCGTCCACAGAGAGCACGGCTTCCGTTTCGATGACATCGAAGGGCAGGAATCGGTTGTTTAGGGAGTTCCTGGGAGCTCGTAGAACGGCCACGGGCACTCCTATATCCGGCCAGCGTAGTTCATCCAATGGTGGTTTAGGGGAATTCCACACTACGACGACTTTGTGAAGGTAGGGCAGTCCGTACAGACGTCCCAGTGAGTCCATGAGCACTTGTTCCCTTTCATAGGTCAGCATGACGATAGTGAACTGCTCTCGCGGGTAATTTCCGCCTAGAGCTTCACCAAACTCCTTGCCTGCTCCTCCTAATCCTTTGCCAATGGGCCGGAAACCGGTGTGTGAGCCAAGGAACTTGGCCTCCGAGGGCAAGGCAGGATCAAAGGGCAACTGCGGGTAGAGGTAAAAGGGATCCAACCAATCGTTCCAGGCTTCCTTGGCCTGCATTCGCAGGATGGTGTAGTTGCGCCTGAAAGAGGGGCTCGGGTAAGGCGGCTCTATGGGACCCAGTGACTCCTCTGGCTCCGTATCCAAGCCCACGGGAGGATCGGATTTCAAGGGTATAAACGTGCTATTGAACACACTTTGTGCTATGATCGGTGGCACGGGTCTGGGTGGTATACCCAGGCGGTCCCTTAGACTGGCAATCACCGTATCCACGGTGGCCTGCACGGAGCTCAGATACCGCTCCCAGACAAGTCTGCCCTGCCGTCGGAGGAGCAGCAAATCCGCATCCTGCACAGCTCTCAGCAGAAAATGCAGCTCCGTGATCCTCGCTTTAGGCAGCAGCAAAGCTGATCTTCTCCAGTCTAAAGTCTCAGCGTAAGGCAGGCGCAATTCATCGGCTCCCAAAATCACAGGCACAGCTCCCGAACGCAAAGCTTCATAGATCCTGGCCAACATAAGAGTGGAGGACACTCGACCATTCATTGGGGGTAGAATCAAGGTGAATGTAGAGTCCTTGAGCAGCTGACGTCGGGAGGAATCGGATCCGCAGAGCGTCCAGTCTGGCAGGGAATCGCCCTCCTGCTGCTCCGTGGCCGGGACGCACTGGAACTGCAGCACAAACTGATCCTGGGTGGCTCCTTTGGCCATATCCGCCAAATGCTCCAGTATAAACGCATCCAAGGGAAGCAGCGAGCTCAGTTTGGGTCGGAGTTCTCCCTGGAAGGTGAGCAGGTACTTTCTGCGGGCGGGCACCATGCCGGCGCACTCTTGCCACACATCTCCACCCGGTGGACCCAAAATGGGCGGCACTATGAGGTCATAGCCTGGACGGAATTGCTCCCTCTCGAAGGCACTCTGCACCACAAGGGCGCGCATGGTGTTCTGCTTGTACAGCGGATTCGTGCGATGCGAGGTGAGATCCCGCCTGGCCAGATTGAGCAGCACATGGTTGCGTCCATCGCCGCCCCAATAGGGCAGCTTGTAAAGCTTCTCCATGTCCACGGGGCAGTCATTGGCATGGCTGGGTGTAGAGGGCTGCTGGTGCTCTGCCTCCTGTGCCGCATACCGATTGTTTCGAAGGAGATCCTGCTCCAGGAGTGCTTCACCCACCAGCACCAGATATATGCAAGCCTGCTTAGGGTCCTTGACAATGTGAGCATTGTAGCCCAGCGTCTGCTTGAGGGTTGTCTTCAGGAAGCCATCAATGTCGTAGCCATGACGCTGCACACTGTGCTCATCGGGATCGTAGAGGTAAACAGGGAATCCGGAAGTCAGGCTGCATCTCGAGTGATTGAAGCAATTGTGCATCTCACAGCTGGCCGCCATGCCCGCCGTTATGGGATTCATCTTCCTGGGCAGGGAGTTTGGTAGTAGAGAGCGTGGTAAAGCCAGGTCGGGGGTATTCCTTTGCACGGCCTCTCTCTGGGCCACTTGAGCCTGCTCCACGGAGATCTTTAAGCGCTCTAGTTCCGTTTGCTCCCTGAGGAGTTCCTGTTTGAGCTCCTCGATCTTCTGGTTGTACTGACTGATGTCGGATTGCAGCTTCTGGCGACGGGATTCCAGTTCGCGCAGCTCCACAGACACGGTACTCTTGGGGTGGTTAAAAAGTGTGGATTAGTGGGGATTTCTAGGGCTTCCCAAGAGCTCACCTTGATCCTGACCATCTCCTCGATGCGCATTTTAAGATCTCCTGCTCGCATGGCACTGAAATCCTCATAGGCATCCAGCAAAGGTGAACTCCTGTGAATATCCTTTGGCGGGGCATCTTGTTCTGACTAAAAAAGTAAGGATTACATCAGAAAATGGCAGGTAACTCCTGTAAATCAAGAATCTCTACACTCAGTATACGGTAAGCCATGCAGGACACCAAGAGCAGGAGCATCAGCAGCAGGGTGGGCAGCTTGTAGCGCCGACACATCCGCGACCAAGACGTTCTCAATCCCATGGCGTGGCGCTGTGGTGCAGCGGTGGCAGCAGTGGCGTGCGAGGGCGGTGGACAGGCCTCCTTGGTCTCCAGCGGGTGATATGACGCCTCCGCGGAGTGGCCCAGGTCATAGGCCGGTGACATGTCATCGGCTTCAGCTCGCTATGGCACGGAATTCATGCATTTATCTTGGGTATATTCCGCTTTTATTGCTATTTCATTGATAAAAAAACGCGACTTGTGTTGTTTTTCTGCGGGATAGGGCTGCCCACTTGGTCAGAAGAGAACAACAGAGTTATCGGTGCAACATGGTTGGTGATCGGCGCTGTCCACTTGGTTTGAAAGTGAGCTTAATGTTGGTTTTATTTTTAATAAATAAATTAATTATAGTTTTGTTTATGTATACAAAATCATTGCCAAGTATGCTTAATTTTCTTAATTAACCCGCTTAACTTACAAAAACTTACCGATTTTCAAACTAACAGCATCTTTAAAGCCCCGCTAAATAGTGCTGTTATTTTAGCTATTTAATGGCTAGATCTGGCTCCAATAAAAAATTAATCAATTGTTTTTTTGTACATATTTTTGGCTTAGAAAGAAATTAAGAAATTAAAAAAAATAAATTAAATATTGAAAAATATAGTTTACATAATTTTTCAAAATATTAAAATTAAATTGTCAAAAATTATTAAATACATTTAATTTTAAAATGTGTAAAATCGATATGCTTATAAAAATTTTAAACTTTCTTTTAAATTTTAAATAATATTTTCATTATTATTTTATTTAAATTTTTAAAATCTAGCTAATTTCTCTTTCAGAGATTCTGGCATCACTGCCACTAACAGCTGGATTTTTGAACGCGACTTGACATTTATGTTGTTGTGATTTGAATGATTTTATTTTTAGTCGCGTCTTTAATTCGCACTGTGCCGCGTCGATTTCGCAACGCGTTCGTTTTTGTTCTGTTTAAAGCGCTTGAATTTGTTAAATTAATTGCTGGCCGAACGAAATAAAGCTTAGAACTATTATTAATGGACGCAAAATGACTGGAAATAGTTTTTAAAGAGCTTTAATATAAAAAGTGTTCCTAAAGTGCACAAATTCTAAGCACCCCTTCTAATAATTCAACAGCAAACCGGAATCCTGCGCGGAAAATTTGAAAATGGGTAAAATACGCAAATGAAAACGCATCTATAAATATTTATTTATTTACTGTCGTCCGGTGACATTTTCACTTTCTTCCATTGATTCTTTTCTTTGCTTTGGGCCTGGCCTGTCTGGGTTTTGTGGGCCGGGCCTTGAAAGTGAAAGCCGCATAAAAGGAAAATGGCAAATAGACATGAGTACAAGCCATCGATACCCTAACACTTGGCACTTAAAGGTGTGATATTCCATGGTAGATCTTACGCATAATGGCAGTTATTGATAATAAATGAGATCGATGATTAATTTAACATGAAGAGAAATGATTTAATGAGCTAAGAATACTATTATACATTGTCAAAAAATAGTTTAAGATATTTTTAAAATTAATTAGAAAGTAAAAATCAAATTATAATTAATAAATGCGATTAATAATCGAAGTTCTTTAAACTTGAAATCTATTTATATTTTGATCAGTGCAATTATGGCCCTTTTAAATAAATTTATAACTTTTTCTCACCTTTTCAAGGATAATTAATGCTCAAAATTAGATTTGTGTTTATTAATATATTTATTAATAATATTCTCTCTGTTTTAATTTGGTAATTTTAGTTATTTCATCTTATCAATTAGTAAAAACAACTGAAATTCACTGATAACCTGGGTTTATGCCTGAATAGGTCAAGTAAATAGTTCGTTTTGGATGAGGGGAGAAAATGATTAACGACTCTGTTTGCTGGTGTTTTGTAATTAATTATAAATAATAATGGGGACCTTTCACAGTTGACAGAAATGGGAAAAATGTAAATATTTAAATAATCTTGATAAGATTAGAAAAGTGATTTCAGCAAAATAATAATTATAAGATGCAGGAGAATTATGCTGTAGAAAGATGCCATTAAGTCTTGGATTTTAACTGAAAAAAAGGGCTTTTATTGCCTAAAATATTCTGTAAAAAAAGGTGTCTTGCTTATTTAATAATTTATAAGCATTTTTTCACATACAGACTTTGATTTTAACTGATAAAAAGAACAAAGACAGGGCTCAACTTTGATATTAAACAGTTGATAAAGAAGCTTTGGCAGCCAAAAAACTTTGACAGCATGTTAGCCTGCTAGTTAAATATATATATAAAATAATTATAACTTCGATACAATCTAGCATACTAGCCTTGTTTATTTTAGGGATCTGGAACTACCCATCAATTTATGTCAACTTCTTTTCTTAGGGTTGCAGGTTTGTAGAACTTCCGCATTTCGTTCCCAATCAAGACTAATTAAACTCCAGTTCGAGGACCGGGGCCAGAAATACTTAATTGAAACTTAACTCACACTTCCTCGGCCCCTTGGTTGTACTTACAGTCAAGCTATGGTATAGGGAACTAGAAAACATTTAAGAAATATTTATTAATTAAATTTTGGAGAGGAAATCAGAGGCTTCGCGGTAGAAGTGGAAAGGGAATCATAATTATTTTACCTTTCCCAAGCTGTTCATCTAAGTTAATAACCTTTTAATATCTTTGACAAGATTTTTGATAAGATTTCTTATACGCTTTAAATTTATTATTATTTCTAAATTTCTTCTTGATTAATAAAAAGAGCTTTTAAATTATCTTTTTCTGTGACAGTAATTATAGATGATAAATTTATTCCACCTTTGATTAAAACAAAATGCATTTTAGTCGGCAAGACAAAGAAAAATCAAAATAAGGCTAAGACTCATTTTCTTATCACAAGAATAAATTTCTTATCAATTCTATAAATACGAGTTAGGGGAAAGTTCTTGATCCAGTTTTGTATTTTATTTTCCCGTGGAAACATTAAAAGCTTTGAAAAATAAATAATTTAAGATTTATACCAAGAAACCCATATATTCATGGCTGGTAAGGTTAACTATTGTTTTTATAAAAATATATTTTAAGAATTTAAATTTTTTGTTTTGTGACAAGAATTTAAAATTTATGACCTAAACAATGTTAAATTTTTTAAATTTATGGAAGCTTCACTGTATTTTCTATTTGATTCGCTGCCGTTGACCCCAAATGGCAAAAAAGCGGACTGTTTTTTGGATTTGGAGCAAAGCGGCTTCGCCAGCGGCTTATCGGCGGGTTGAGCGAGGTGAGAGGTGAGGCGGAGAAGGGGCTTAATTAGGGGCACATTCAGTGCAGTGACGGTGCGTGTCTTCCGCCACCCCCCTATACCCCCGGAACCGCGCACACACAGCCAACCCTTCGACCTTTGGCGACCGCAATTGCCTTGCCACACACACACACACACACTAATGACACATCCGCCGTCGGGTTCCGCGGATCCGGACTCTCGCTTACGGATTCTTAAATTCCGGATTCAGTCGCTGCTGACCGTAGCCGCAAGAAACTGGCTCACTCTGGCGGTAAAAAAAAAACCAAAAAAACTAAGAGTGCGGTTTGACCATTTGACATGCATTTGAGGATCCGTCTCACGTGTCGCAAATATGAAATTTGGGGTAAGCACAGAGAGCTCTCTGATTGGCACACTTGGCCCTGCTCCCGATTTCTGGCTGGGATCGCCGCTGGTTCTGCTCTGCCCTCCATTTTCATGCAAATTCTAGTGCGTAACGGTGCATCGCCCGCTGTGCCGGGCATTTTTAATACCGGAGTTTACGCGTTACATATTCATGCTTAAAAGCCCAAAGCGGCCCAAGTGCAACCTCAGTCGAAATCGGTGCGTCGTGGGTGTCGGTGTCACAGTACTGCGGGATCGCAGTGATCGTAGGGATTTACCTTATCGTCATGTGTAAGCCCGTTGTTCCCATTTTGTTAAGAACCGTGTTGGTGATAATTAGTGAAGAATCAGGAAATAGTGCCCAAAAATGACTTAAATTTTTAAAGTTTGTATTACCTATAACTTTCAACTATCTCATGAAAATGTGCTAAAATACAGGGCATCCTGTGAAAGTAAAAGTGGAACTTTTAATCATTAAGAACCCTTTTAAAGTACTGGAAATATATACATAAGTTCCCGGGTAATACCAAAAATCTTCCAAACAAATTTTCATTGGGTTTAAAAGTTTACATTTTTAAAAATAGTAAAAATATAGAAAGAAAACATCAGTTGAGTGAAATCTTAAGTTTTCTATAGCTTATTAAACCTCATTGATTTTTTGTATGGGTATTCTAAGTAATTTCATTTCATTTAATCATTTTTTTGTATTGATTTCCTAGAAATGACTTAAAATGACTTAAAAGTCTTGCTGTCCTTTTTTATGTGAAAGAAATTGTGTAAACAATTCTTTAAATTCTTATCTAGTAAAAACAACTTTAATTTACTTATGCTTCACCTGTTGTTGTATTTAAAAGTAAAGGGCACAAAAAACAGATTTTCACTTTATAACAAAGCAAAATGTCTGTTCTTTTAATCAGTTACTACAATTAGTTAGTACCGGGAATGGGAGGATTAACTTGAATAGCACTTGGCAAGCTACTAAATAATATAAAAATTAAAAAGGCATGTTTTAAGCAACCATATGCATGGATAGGAGAAAATAAATGCATTATTTTTGTATTTTGCTTGCAATATATAATTTAATGAGGAGCTGAAAGAAGTTCTTTCTTCAAGCATATCAGAAATTTCTGGAAATAATTTGAGATACTTTCAAGCAGTAGGAGGTGTACAAAAGCATGAAGGGCCGCATTATTTAATTTGTTTAAACTATTTAATGATGTTTTCGACATGATTGTAGCTCATAAAATTGAATAAATACACAAGTTAAATTAAAAGAAGCATTTTGATAACAACTTCAAATAAAAATGTATTGTTGTAATTTTTTAAAGAATTTTTGGAAGATTAACAGATAGTTTAATTTAAATTTGAATAGATAAGCCTCTTTGTTTATTTCAAAAAACCGTGAAAAATACCCAAGGCTATAATCGATTTGAGTGATTTATGGGTATTCTAAGTATTTTCATTTCATTTCATCATTTTTTTTTATTGATTTCCTAGAAATGTGCCGTCTCAGAATCTTCAATTCAATCTTATCTCTTAAAATTATTCCTTTTTTAAGTCATTTCCTTTTTATTTATTAATTTGTTTTTATTAAACATTTTATATTCATAGAAGTTAGCTTTCTGAGAACTTCAGACACCAATATTTCTTTATTTTTTAAATTATTACTTTTTTAACAATGTTTATAGTACAACAAACACTTTCATACATAAATCGAATCGATTGCCTATCGATCCGCACTATCGACCGTTACCCACTTTAAGGAGCTTTCCTGCAAGCTTTTCCTTACCCTTTTTCCTCATTTTTTCAACGCCGGCAGACAGCTTTTGCGTTTAGACAGCTGATTACGCGGCAAAACATGTGAGAAGCGATAAATAGATTTAGGAAGTGAAGTTTTTTTTAGTCAGTTACCCGCCGACAAGCAGACGTGCGAGAACTTGGCCAAGTTCTCTCTGCTTTTCCCCCACCTGTTTTATGGGTATTATGGGATTGTGGCGCTTTCTGAAATGTTGGTGTTTGTTTTTTACTTGTTAATGGAAAAACGTGTTTACCTGGCAAAACAAAGTACCGACATTTGCATACGAGCAAAATCAAAACAAAAGCCGCAAAAAATAAAAGAGAATAAAAAGAACAAAACAAAAACAAGATTGAAATCTAAGCGAATGATGACATGCGTAAGTGTGTGTGTGTGTGTATCTATGAGAGAGCTTTGCTGAGAGCACCTTGAAAGCTTGTCTCTCTTACTTCTGCCTTTTGCTTTGTTCGGCTCATTCGCATTGTTCGGCCCTTTGCTTTGCCACCCCCTATTGTCCTGATCGTTACTGTTACCGTTATACCAGTGTAGTAAAGTTTCAAATTTCCATTTCCGTTTCTCTTCGTTTCGTTTCGCTTGGCCCGCGGAAAACCCTTTTGTTTATAATCAAGTGAGTATGAATGTCGCGGGGCTTTTCTCTTATTAACATTACAAAAAGAAAAGCCACTGACATTGGAAAAGCCAATAAACTTTTAGCATTTAATCTGCATTCCGGAAACCAACAAACAATGTGCGTAAAGCTACATTAGAAGGTCGATAAGATATGAGTTTTTTGATAGTTTTGGGGTTTATGGAGGGGAAATCAGAGATAAGTTTTACAGATAACACACTGTTGTTGGGGGAAAACTGTGACAATAATCGATAAAAACAGAAGTCTCGACTGGTTTTCTATAGTATTTTATGATATTTTTTTTAATTATAATGTTATTAATAAGATGTGATTTTAAGGAAACTTATTATATTATGTTGTCTGGGCTTTGATTTATAAAGGGTTTTTCTTATTCAAATTATAAACTATTTATCCTTGATTATAAAATGTTTAAATATTTTGTTATTTATATTTTATTAATTTAAAGGTTCCTTCGTTGAAAGATAATTATGTTATTTTTTATTCTTTCTCTATTTTAAACGCTTTGCCTGAAATGTACAGGCAAATTGGTTTTCACAGCTTATAAGTTCATCTCAGTAACGAACGAGATGCGTTTTGAGAGTGATATTTTTATTTTTTTTTTATATAAATATTTCGAGGATGAGCCGCATTTATAGTGAAGAAATTCGTAATAACTCAAACCCTCAACTCAATTATCAATTTATAAATATTTAAAAAGAACTTATCTACCCATTATTTCCCTGTATTTACACATTTTACTAACCCTTATCAGCTGTAGACAACGTTATAAAAAAAAACTGATATCGATACATTATTGTATCAGCTTTGTAGGGGAGTCTTCATTCGCAATAATGTGCAATTTGCACAAGTTGTCAACCCTTCGATCAGAGAAGAGTTCCAAGAGTGGAGTTACAAGTTGCAATTTAATAAAATAAAAACAAAAAAAATGTCCTCAAGTACCGAATATCTACCCGTCACACCCCTTTCCTCACGCTTGTCTATATATAATTGCGTTTTTTCGTTTGTCAGACGGTGTAATTCACTGATAGGCCGCATTATCTGCTCCATTTTCGGTCGGTAATATCCCAAATGCCTTGTATTTGAACGCCTCCTTTATTACGTATTTGCAGCTCTCTCCTTCTTCTCCCTGGTGACCGGTCTCTATGTCCTGCACTTCTCCCTAGCTCTGATCCTGGTCAACAAGGAGGTGCCCCAGACACGCGGTATGCTATATCCCAGGGAATCGGAGACGCGTGAAGTGCGCTCGCTGGACGGCATCTGGAATTTTGTGCGCTCCGATCAGGCGAATCCCACGCAGGGCGTTCGGGATGAGTGGTACACAAAGGATCTTAGCCAGAGCAGGCCCACGATTCCTATGCCAGTGCCTGCCTCCTACAATGACATTACCACGGACAACCTGAGGGATCATGTGGGCACCGTGTGGTATGATCGAAAGTTCTTTGTGCCTCGCTCTTGGTCGAAGAATCAGAGGATATGGCTAAGGTTTGGCAGTGTCCATTACGAGGCCTTTGTGGTGGGTTTTGAGATGAGATTTTGATGTAAGGAATTTCTATAAATATTCTTGATGTTTATATTTTCAGTGGATCAATGGCCAAAAGGTGGTGAAGCACGAGATCGGTCATTTGCCCTTTGAGGCTGAGGTCACGGATATCCTTAATTATGGGGCCGAAAACAGGATCACTGTGATGTGTGACAATGCTTTGATCCAGACAACAGTGCCGCAGGGCAAGATCACAGAGGTGCCCAACGATAATGGGATGACCATTATCCAAAGCTATACCTTTGATTTCTTCAACTATGCGGGCATACACAGGAGTGTACATCTGTACACCACGCCCAGGACTTTTATTGAGGAGGTGGAAGTCACAACAGCTCTGTCGGAGAATAATAGTGGTGAGTTTAAGAAATTCTTACCTTATTTAAATATTTTGTAACTATATTTCCCCTTTAAGTTGGCGAGGTCTTCTATAGCGTCAGCGTAAATGGCAGCGCTGCCAACGAAGCCATCAATGTCCTAAATATCCAAGCCAACCTCTACGACAAAGAAGGAGCCAAGGTGGCCAATACCACCTCGGATGGCAAGCTCGACGGCTGCCTGAAGCTCACAGGAGTCAAGCCTTGGTGGCCCTACCTGATGCATCCCGAACCTGGCTATCTTTATGAGCTGGAGATTAAGCTGCTGGCGGCCAACGAGGAGCTGCTCGATGTCTACCGGCTGAAAGTGGGCCTACGCACGCTAAGTTGGAACAAATCGCAGTTCCTTATCAATGGTAAACCTGTGTATTTCCGAGGCTTTGGACGTCACGAGGATTCGGATATAAGAGGCAAGGGCCTGGACAATGCCCTGATGGTGCGGGACTTTAATCTGTTGAAGTGGATAGGAGCGAATGCGTATCGCACTTCGCATTATCCTTACTCAGAGGAGTCCATGCAGTTTGCAGACCAGCATGGCATCATGATCATTGACGAGTGTCCCAGTGTGGATACAGAGTGAGTTTTGGTTGGATTTCCTTTAGTGTATTTTCTTGCTTATGAGGTTTTTCTTCTCCTTTTCTCAGAAACTACAGCCAGGAGCTGTTGGGCAAGCACAAGTCCTCGCTGGAGCAGCTAATACACAGGGATAGAAACCATCCCAGTGTGGTTATGTGGTCCATAGCCAATGAACCCCGCACGGCCAGCATGAATGCGGATTCGTACTTTGAGTGGGTATTTTTTTGAGAGGAAATTCTCTTCTATTATTTAAATTTCCTTAAACTTCTTAGACTGGTGGCCAATTTCACAAGATCCTTGGACAAAACCCGACCTATTACGGCTGCCATTGCTGTGCCCTACACGCAGGATAAGTCGGTAAGTGGGAAAACTTCACTACCTGAAGAGCCAATAGACTTTAGCTTATATCCTTTTTAGGGTCGCCATCTGGACATTATCAGCTTTAATCGCTATAATGCCTGGTACTCCAACACCGGTCGCCTGGATATGGTCACCCAGAATGTGATCGATGAGGCCACCGCCTGGAACAAGCAGTACAACAAACCTGTCATAATGTCGGAATATGGTGCAGATACCCTAGAAGGTTTGCATATGGTAAGCCTGGTTTTATAAATACTTACAAAAAGGGTTAATTATATATTTTTCTTTATATTCCTTAGACCCCCGCCTATGTCTGGTCGGAGGAGTTTCAGGAAGAGGTATTTGCCCGCCATTTCAAGGCCTTTGATCAGCTGCGCAAAAAGGGCTGGTTTATAGGCGAGTTTGTGTGGAACTTTGCCGACTTCAAGACAGCTCAAAGTGAGTTTAAAGTTTAAACTTTACTACATTTTAATTTAATTATAATATTTGTAATATTTAATAGGCTACACCCGCGTGGGCGGCAATAAAAAGGGCGTTTTTACCCGCTCTCGACAGCCAAAGGCGGCTGCTCATCTGCTCCGCAAAAGATACTTTGCCTTGGGCCGGGATCTGGACCAGTGCCAGTTTCCGGAGGATCTCTTCACCTACATAGCTGACCTTATATCGTAGGGGAGTGGATATAAGCCCAATTAATATGGCCATTGTAAATAAGCCAAGGAAAAAGAAAAACAGAACTTCCCATTGAGTACTGCCGCAATTTTCCCCCCGATTTCCATTTCCATAAACCATTCCGCTGCGTTGCCTTTGTACAATATAAATTTACATTGTATTTTTGTATGTATTTGTAAGTTTAAGATAAAAAATAAAAACAGCGTTATTTATTAAAATAAAATAAGTAAGTCAAGTCTTGAGTTTTAAAACAAATTTCAGAAAAAGGGGATTCCTTGGCGCTTACTATCGATAACAAAGGGCTGCCCATCTGGTTTACTACAAAGTACAAAAGGGCAGCCCTTAAATTATCGATTCTTTTTGAGTTTGCGCTGGCAATGCCTTTCAAAAAGGCGCGTTTTTTGAATTTTAAGAACTTTTAAAATATTTATTAAAGTTAATAATAGTATTTTTAATACTTCTTTATTTTTACATAATCGTAAACCCCTATTTTTAATAAAACACAGTTTGTTTTTTTCTTGCATGAAAGTTGAATTTTTATTTAATTTTGCAGCCAATGGAATTTGTTGTATTTTTCTTTATAGTAATTTCGTTTAGTTAAACTTACGCTTGTTTTTGTTTTTGGCAAAATACCAAATTATTGGCCTGGCCATAACCGTCAATAATTCTTTTCGAAATGCGCGCCAAATTGTGTGTATAAAAATCGAAATAAAAGTAATAAATAATAATAAAAAATTAAAATGTTGTGTGTGTTTTGTGTATTCGAATTATTGCCTGATATGTGGCCTAAATAATTTGGGTATTTTGCCTTACTTCTATTGGTATTTATAGATATAGACAGATCTGCAAACACTTACTTCACTAAGCTAATGTTGTTTTTCTTTTCGAAGAGTTTGTTTTTGTTTTTGATTTTGGTTTAGTTTTGTTCTTTTTGAAATGGAAGGTAAAACATTGTGATATCTGCAGTTTCCCTCCGCTTTTGAATCTTAATTTAGTTTGTGTATTTTGCATGTTTTACTTTATTTTATTTTATTTTAACTAATTACGTTTTACCCATTTTTCCCGAAAGTAGTTTGCTTGTCAAATATTACACGTTATTTCGCTAAATTATTACATTTAAGCTTATTCAAAGAAATCCTCGAAACATAATTACCATAATAGTACAACAGTTGGTTTTTTTGTTTGTTTAATTTTAAATGTGTGTTTGGTGGTGGCATTATTAACAATAATGTTTAAATTGTATTTAAACAGGGCTTGACCACCGATTATTATTCGATAAGTTAGTTTTTTTTAGATCCTATAACCAATATTACAGTTGCTCAACAAATGTAGGACTTAGGCCTAAGCAGATCCTTGCTTACACACACATTAAATGTTGCTAGTTAGCAGTTAATATACATCATAATCCGAGTAGCTTCAGTTATAACGATTCCAATCCCATTCTCGAAGCAGAAGGAAGATATAGATAGAGAGCGAGGGAGATCTCTAACGTAAGTTATAGTTATGAGTTTAACACACACACATGAAAAGTGGTAGTAGATTGCTCTATATATGCGTATTAACTAGTCACTTACTAGCTAATTATTTTGATTAGATATCTTGTGTGTTTCTTAGTGTTTTGTATTTTTTATATTTCCAATTCAACGCTTCATCAGTTTTGTCTTCTAAAAACAGTCTCCACTTGGCTCTATAAATTTAGCTATTAACTAACAGAATTCGATACGCTATTTACACACTGTCTTATGGCCTAGGCTGGGGGTTATCTATATATATATATCCATGATCCTGGTATACAAGTATGCGTTAATCCTCGATGATAGCCGAAGAGGTTAGATCAACATCCGCTTTTGTCGGTCCTAGCAGAAGCGTCTGCAAGAAAGCCAAGAAGGATTTACGGGAATTCATTAGCCAAAGTAAAGCGAAAAACTTTCCCATTGAAATGTTAAGGCGCCAAACTAAGCACAAATTGTGCGAAATTAATGTTACTTAATTTAACTTTCATGGGAATGGGAATGGGAATGGGTAATGGAAATGAAAATGAATGAATGGCAAAAGATTTAACTGCTTGGCTGCCACATGCAGATGAGATGGCTCTCCTTCGCCTTCAACCCCAAATGCAATGCAAATGGTAACTATTCAAAAACTTGTCTTTGTAGATAAAAGCCGAATCCTTCCAGGGGGGGTAATGTGGCATAATTCTAATGCATTGACCAACATCCTGCAGATGACAGGCCACCGATAAAAGGTCCGATAAAACTTTCGCTCTTTTTCGACCCGAAAACTTCCTTTTCAGCGCGTTAGGCACGAACACAGAATTGTTTCAATTCCCGGACATCGGATGCAAAGTGCCTTGGAGCAGCAGCTCCTTCAGGATCTCTTCAAGGTCCCAGGCAATATCAATTTCGGGGTCGGGATTGAAAATTGAAACTTGAAAATAACATAAAAGGCAATGCAATTGCGTGTGCGGTGAATCGATTCGAAAGGTTTCCCTTTGGCCGCAGGGCAAATTGACTAACACAATAACAATAAACGGGGGGAGCACTGGGAGAAATGGGTAGCTACTACACAAAACTAAAATTTAAAATAATATTTATAAAAAAATAAGAGAAAAAGGCTTGGGAAAAATAATATCATCTTAAAATTTTTCTGTTTAAAAATTATACTAAATTTTGATACACGACTTAACATTATTTTAAATATAAAAATATAATTTACAAAGTTTATAACTATTTAACAAAAACAGTAAATCATTTTTGATCATTTATAAACAAGAAATATTAAAACTAAATATATATATATATATTTAACAAAATGATAGTGATTTCTCTCAGTGTATTATTGTGCGTTTCGGCTTTCGTTGAGTGGCACTCACCTTCGCCTCTTCGCATGCACTATCTAGAGCTTCCCGCTGCGATAGTGGACTGGTCGGTGGCCGCCAAAGAGGATGCGCTTGAAGGCCTGACGGAACTCCGGACTGAAGATGGTATAGATGACCTGCAAAGGGGGTTCAGAAAAAAATAAAACAAAAATGGGTAAAAATATAGAATGGCATCAGTAAGAGTTGAAAGACAGGTAGTGCAATTTAAGGTTAACTTATTTATGTAGCAATTAGTTAAAGGGGAATTCTTCATAGTTTAATAAAGACTGTTAAAATGTATTAAGGAAAAGAGTATTTTTCTTCTTGTTGTACTTGAATTTGTAGTTCCTTGGAAAATTGTTTCTTTCTTTTAAGACACTTTCTTAGCCAATTTATTATTATTTCTAAAAATATTCTCTTAGTTTGTAGATTTATTAACTATATTAATTGCAAAAAGATAAAAGCTGAAAGCAAAGGAAATGTTTCTGCTTTGAAAACTTTTAAAATTAAAAACAATCTTAACAGATGAACTTGTTTTAATTAGTTTCACTTTTAGTGGCTTCTGAAGTTAAAAACTCATTATTGCGTTATTTTTCTGAAAGCAAAGTTGCTTGTCGTTTGCTTATTAATAGTGTAGGAAGTATTTCAATATGAAAAACTGGGGAAAAGTTGTGTTATTTAAAAGAAAATATAGTTTTTTAATAAAAAAAATGTTAAGTTAATTTAAAATTTTTAGTTAAACCTAAATTTAATAACATTTTTAAACCTTTTGAAAATATAAAAATATTAAACAAACTCAAAGGAAACTCTCAAACAATAGCTTCGGGTTCCAGCCTTCTTAACCCTCTTACTCATCGCAACTTAGTAAGTAGCTTTACGTATTTCCTAATATTATTATCATTTAACGCACCGGATTGAGGGTGGAGTTGAAGTAGCCCAGCCAGAGGAAGAGCGAGGCCACACTGTCGCTGATCTCGCAGGCGGCGCACAGGGGCATGGTCAGTGCCATAACGAAGAAGGGCAGCCAGCAGACGACAAAGGCTCCCGTGATAATGGCCAGCGTCTTGGCCGCCTTCCTCTCTCGCTTCGCCTCCAGCGTCTCCTTGCGCTTGTTCACCTTCTGCATGGGATTAGCAATGCTGGAAAGCTGCTGCTGGGGATTTGTGTGTTGCTGCTGCGTGGGCTGCTGTTGCAGCGACTTGGAACGCGGCTCTGGGGTCAAAGGCTGGGCGGAGGAGGGTGTGGGCGAGGAGGAGGTGGCGCCGCAGAGCGGATGTGCCTGGTTGCAGCTCGTCAGCGTACTGGTTTTGGCTGTCATCGGTCCGGCAGCGGCAGCGATGCCACCTATTCCCTGCGATGTTGGCGTTTGCGGCGAAAGCGCCGATATCGACGTAATTGTGGTGGCATTCGATGTGCTGGCCCCACCTCCTCCTCCTCCTCCTGATCCGGCTCCAGCTCCTCCGCCGGATTTGGCAGTTTTCTGCAGCTGCTGCACTTGTTCGAGCTGCTGTTGCAGCTGCGGATCCTCCAGGACCTCCACCGACCCATTGCCCGTGGCTGTTGCTGGCGTTGCTGCCAATGTTGCGGTTGCGGCTGCCAGGTCAGCCTGGTCTTCTTCCTCCTCCTCGTCCTCGGGGTCCTGTTCCTGCTCGTGGTTTCCACCCTGCTGATGCAGCTGGTCCTGGTCCTGGTCCTCGTTCTGCCCTTTGCCCGCCGCATTGGCTGCCGTTCCGTTGACAGCTGATGTCGAAGACTTGGCAGCGGCCTTGCCCTGCTGTTTGGCCAGGGCCACCAGGTGCGAGACGGTGGCTATCTGGTTGCCTGACTGGGACGTGCTGGGTACCTGTAATGGAAGTGGGGGGAAGGTTAAGATTAGTTGTGGGGATAAAATTGACGGTAGATTATAGAAATAAAATACTTCATTTAAGACCTTAAGAAAATCTTAGAGAAAAGTCTTTAAAATTTTTGAAAAAACATATGTTTTTACTGGAAATACAAAATATTTGATTTATAAAGTAGAAAATGAATTACCTACAGTATTTGAATTATTAATTAAATAAATTTAAAGCATAAAATCCATTTAAATAAATCTTTTAAAATATTTTGTAAGCAAAATTGTTATACAACTTTCACTACCTATTTCAGATTTCCAAATTACTATTTGACCTGTGTAACCATCCAATTCACTGGCTTTCCCTGCTTTTCCCTGGACGCAGTCAAGTTTCATGTGGCAAATTAGCATTTTAAATCAGTAGCCGCGCATTGCATTCATAAATTTATTTATTGCTCGTCAATTTTCATGGCGCTGGGCCCATAAATTTTCGGTAAATGAATAAAATCAGAGTGTAAATATTTACTTTCGTTAAGCTCGTTGGTCCGTACCCACGCCATGCTCGCGTTCCGTACCGCCTTCTTTATCAGGGCCGGGCCACTCGGAAAGGGCTGTGCCTGGGCTGGCTGGCTGGCCTAGTGCCTAGCCAATTTGTCGGATGTACGTACATATTTGAGGAAAACGGCCTGACCGAGCCGGTTGGTCTTCCTAACGACTTGTCTAGCACTAAAATTCCCATAATCACCTGTAATTTGAGCCCCGGCCAGAGCGTAGGTGTGCGTCGGCCGGAAGTGGCCGCCGCAAAGTGCTAAAATGAACTTTACGTGTGATAAATTGTGTCTACTTTGCAGCTGGCGCCTTTTTTGGGGGGCGATAACGTTAACGTTAACGGTTGGGGATGGGAATATACAAAGAAATTATAGCGATTGTTTAGAGAGTTGATGAACGATTTAAAAAAAAATATTTTAATTATTTAATTAATATATGTTTGATAAATAAATATATTTATTTTTAAATAGATCAGATTTACACCTTTTGCATATTTTGATTATGTAGTTAATTAATTTAATTAAAGTTAATATATATTTTTAGTTACAATAAATACCTTTCTACATTAACTTTATTGAGCTAGTAAATTGAAAGCAACAATTAAGTAACAAAAGCCATTATAGTGCTATTATTTCCTGCCATCTCCCTTTCTTGCACGAAAGTAAGCCAAGTTCAATTAATGGCCGGACCAAATGAATTTTATGACTGTGATGCGGTCATAAATTATGAAACATATTGTGTGGAGTATGTAATTTGTGTGCTCCTGGAAGACATTCAAATTCAGGAGAAATAAAAAACTTGGTGTCTCGGGGGAACAATGGGGAATATGGGATAAATCTCTGGACAGGAGCTTAGTTCACATCAAATTCAATGGCCATTGGCCAATTGTGCATAAACACAAAGCAACAAAAGAGGAGAGAAAGCTGAGCACATCGCCGTATGTGTTGGCAATAGGGGTGAACCATGTGAGGACAAGGATGTCATAAAATTAAGGAAAATGTCATAAAACTTAGAGTTATTGTTATTTATTTTAAGGGACATTAACATAATTAAATTGTATTTTGTAAAATATTTTACAGCTCTTTTATGTTTCCTTAAAATACTCTTCAATAATTCGCTTTTCTTCTATTTCCAATATTTGTCACACTTTGGTCCACCCTAGCGAGCATGTGTGGCTCTGCTATTGTCATTGCCACTGTAATTGTGTGTCCCAATACAAACAAACAATTCGATTTCTCTTTCCTGCAGCATTTTTAATATGTTACCAGGAGAGAGTGGGAGAGCGAGATGGAGTGGACATAACGGTGAAGCAAAGCACACCAGAGCAAGGCGTGCCGAAGCGAAGCAAAGCGAACAAAGCAAAGCAAATCAAAGGCGAAGCCAAAGACAAATCAACAACAAAGCAACGTAGTTTAATTTAGGACGAACCAGGAACAATGCGAGAGGATATATGTATAGAGAGTGAGGACAATGGAGATTGCAATTCAAGAGATTCTGCAATTTTGCACCTCTGCAGAGCTCCGCCACGAAGGCAGGACGTGCCGTGAAGCAAAAAAAAAAGGGAAAATTTGTTTGGCATTTCCTATTTTCATTATCGACTCCCTCTTCGCTCCAGTAATTATTCCAATGCAGCTGAAAAAAAGAAGAAATATGCAAACAATTGTTTCCATTTTCAGCTTCTCATTTCTTTTTTTGTGTTGCTTTTTTTTTGGGTGGACTCTTTGCACACACAACTATAATAATAAATTTATATATTTGCTTTCGGGCGATGCGTAAATGCGAGTGTGTGTGTGTTTGTTTATTTATTTGGCTGTCCACTTATTTGCCCAGCAGGCCAAAGGGAGAAAGCAGGAGGGAAGGCGAGAAGGAGAGGGGAATAGCAGGGAGAGCAGGAGAGATGGAGAGGTGTGTGGCACAGCTATTTCCAAGTAAATATTTAATCTCAGGTCCAAGAAAATGGTAAAATGGAACGAGATCGGGAGAAAGAGAGAGCGGGAAAGCGATGGAGTTATTCTGGCCGAAAAACGAAAGCTGTTGGCCATAAGCCATCAACATATTTTCCTCAATTACTCAAGCGTATTGAGTGCCTTGTTAGGCGACGGCCTCTTACCCCCTAGATATCGAAATCGCAATCGGAATCGGAATGGGAATATGAAGCAGAATAGCAATCGGAGTCCAAGGGCCAAGAAGTCAAAGGTCCCCAAAGCTAAACTCAGTCTCTCTCTTTCTCATTCTTCGTTTTGCTTTCGCTAACTGACTTTCCGCTCCTGTTGCTGTTTTGTTTGCCTACTTTACCCGGAAGGGTATTTCGATTTTCTGCAAAAGTTTGTCTTGACGCATAAAAGTATGCTACGAAAATCAGTATGAAAATTACTCATACGTCGTGTGTAACAAAATCTAAAAATAATATTGAATATGTTAAATTTATATTTAAAAAACAAATATTGCACTTTATTTAATTCATTTAATTATTTTTATTATATTTTTAAAGCGGTTTTTAAAAAGTAAAATAAATATTTTTAAAATTAAATGCCTTAAAACCATAATTTATTAAAAAATAATAAAAAATACCTTTATTTTAATCAAGTTTATGCTTAAATACGCACAGGTTTTTATGAAATCGCATAAAAAGTTATTTTTTTCGCCTTTTTAACATTGCGTATACGTAATACACTTTTAAACCATCTTGCAGAACTTACACTTTATTTATAATATTTTAAGTACTAAAATTACAATTTTAAAGGTTGCAATCTTCTGCTGAACAGCGAATAAATAAAAAAGTAATTCCCCAACGTAAGAGGGTGTAATCTCCAGCCACCAAAAGCGAATAAATAATCATATATGTTATTGTAGATTATAACATAAATCGTAGCTTTACCTCTTTTATTAGGGATAATTTTCAGGTTCGAAGTGTTTGATACCGATTTTTCCTCTCAATAAAATTACCCCTTTTTCATATAAATATTTAATGTGAAAGGGTATTAGGGACATCGACCTCGTAGCTATTAATTCGTTTTGCTTGTTTTCATTTGAATCTCTTCACTCCTTGGTCGCTGCCGTCCTGCTGCTATTGCTGTTGCTTTTTGCATGCTAAGAGAGCGGGGGCGAAGGGAGCGTATCCTTGTCACAGCTTATATTTGACTTTGCTATTACTTAACCGGCACGAACCTGGCGATGCCAATGTGTCCTGTTTGCTGTTGCCCCAACTCCCTGACCTTTGGCCAGTCGCCACCTCGTTGCTGTGTTTCTGTGTTTGGAGCTATGCCTGGTGCCAAGGTATTGGGCCTGGGCTTGTAGCAAATGCAAACAAAACGTTCGAGCAATTTATTTGGTCTCTGCTCTTTTATGGCTTGCTTGCCTGCGCCCTTCGCTTTAATGTGTGTTATTATTGAATGTGTGTGGCCCTGCTTGGATTATTTTTTAGCCATAAAATCGCTGGCCGAAAATTGAAGTACATAAAATGCGGCTAAATACAAATTTTCGGAGGGTCCCCGGACTGTGGCGGTCCTTTTTCTTTTCTTTTTTTTCGTTTGGGGGATTTCCCCCAATAAACCGAAGGCTTGGCCTGCATTTTATCGCTGACATTTTGGTCGAGTGGCGGGTAATTTGCTTGGATTGCCCCGGATTTAGCCTGCCTATGAAGGGAAGTGGCTTTCTTATCCCGCCACTCAAGGCAACGACTCCATTTACAATTATTAAATTGCCATTAAATTTGTTAATTAAATATTTAGGCAGACTTTAGTTTCGTTCGTTTTATATTTAATATTTACCAAAGTTGAAGAATAATTTCTTCCATTTGCAGTTTCATAAGAAATGCAGAGGAAACTTGGGGACTTTCCCCAGAGAATCTTCAATCTTTGGTCATGGAAATAGTATGTATAATTCATACCCCATGAAATATATACATACATATCTCTCCTGGAGACAATGGAAAAGGTCAAGCTGCTGGTCTCACCCCGTTTCTTGATCATTATCGGGGAATGCTGGCCCAAGGAATTCTCAAGTGCATATTGCTGCGACGATGCCAGCCGGGGCTAATGTCTCATTAGCCGGGTGAGAAAAAGGAAAAGGAAAAGCTCAGTGAAAAGGTAGCCAAGAGGAAAAATCATTTCAATCCCCCGAAGGTGCGAGTGAAGGGCATATGGTAGGAGGAGACGCATAATAAAGCGGGAAATGAGCTGAAAGCTGGTAGGTTTATTTTTGGTCAGCCTATGCTGGTCTGCGAGTCCTTTCCATGGGGGTGTGTGTGTGTGTGTGTCTGCATCCTGGTAACAGGAAGCAAGGCCTCTCCTCAGATCGTTGGGCACATGTCAGGCGTTATGAAATTTGCTTTAAACCCAAAAATGCGCATTGTTCTTCCTCGTGTTGCTTCACTCAACAGCAACGAAAAAAAAACATCCAGAAATATTCCATGAATTTTTAAAATTCAATTTTAATTTAGAATCGCGTTTAAAAAATGCTTGAAGGTTGCGGTTTTTTCTTAGATTTCAACTAAAATCACCACGAAGCTTATTTTTTGCTTTTATAATTTATTTTTCTTGGGAAAAAGGGAGTCTTAAGGAAACAAAAAATTGCCGCTTAGTTGAAAAATAAAATAATTCATAAATTTAATTAAATTGTTACAAGTGCCTAGTACCCCATTGAATTATAAACTCATCAAAAATAAGAGCTTCTACTTTTAATATTTAAGCAAATAAGTAAATAATAATTCGTTCATTATGTTTCAAACTTTTCTTAATCATAAAATAAATCAAATTAAATGGAAAAACAAAACCCTACCTAATTAAGCATGTCTTTTGAGGTCTCCAGTGATTCCTGAACCATATGTTTATTAGGCAGTTTCTATTTCTATTTATATTTTCAAGTGTTCCTTGATATACATACCTCGATACCGGCCCGACTCTTGCTGTCCACATTCGAGCTGCTGAACTCGGTGTCCTCGACCGTGTTGACCGTGTTCGTTGAGTTGCCATCGACCAGGCCCAGAGCCCTACCACCAGGACCTCCAGATCCTGCGCCAGTTCCAGCTCCGCTGCCACCTCCACTGGCACTTCCGGCCTTGGTCTTGGCCGTGGAGAATCTGCCAAGGCGTAGACGCAGTCGATTAAGTTTCGTATCTGTTGCCGCACCTCCGTCCGGCTGAAAAAACCAAAGAAGGCAAAATATACACACACAATCAGAGAGATAGGAAGGGAGCAAGTGTGTTGGGATAGAGTCCTTCAGTCTAAGGCATTGATTTTTGGCCTTTGACCCGTGTGCAGGACTTGAAATTAAATTCATACTTCTTCGCACAGCATTAAAATGAATAACAAAGGAGCCGATGGTCGGGCAAATTTACATTTTCGGCTTTTTGTGCCTTACGCTTCAATAAACCGCAATTTGTACGCATATAAAAAAAAAATACAAGAAAAAAAAAACGGCAGAGAAAAACTTCAAGATCCGATCCGTATCCCACCATATGCATATGTAAGTGGGTTGCTTCCCGTAAATAAATTGTGTGTATTTGCTACAGAATCTCCCGAAAAGCGTTTTTCCTGACCGCCTGAAAATAAATTTCACGATTGACTGCTCCCAGCGCTTGACCTCTTTGATTTTTCCCCTTTTTTTTTTTTGGTTGTCCTGTTTACCCTTTTTTTTTCTCTCGCCTAAGTGTAGTGTATTTTCATGGTTTTGGGGGACAATGAACTTCGACTTGGCAAGGGTTTCGTATAGTGTTAAAAGTCAGGCTTAAATGGGTGCTATTTTTAGAAGGTTTAAGTACTGGAAAATAAGATTTTAAAAACGTTTGCCATCGTACAATTTATTCAACTAAATTTTAATGAAATTGTTTAGCTTTATTATAAGTATTATTAGCCTTTTCTTAACATATTTTAAATAAAGCCTTCCTAAGAATATCTAAAAATAAATTCCTAAAAGTTCTGCTTCCCCCCTTTGGGTCTCTTTTTCTGTTCCCAAAGTTCAATACCTTAAGAAATTCTATACCTCACAGTGTACACTTTATTCGACTTGCTTTCTTTCTTTTTTTTTTTTCGTTTTTTTCGGCTAAACATATATCCCCTCTGCCTTTTGTGTGCGTATTTTTGTCGCCTTCAATCCCACCAAATTAAAGTAATTGAGTAGTCCAACCCTTTGGCAGCTCTCGGCCTCGTCATCTTTGTCGTCGTCTGACCCTTTGGCAAGTCGATACGATATTGCTTTAAATAAATAAAATTATGCTGATTTTGCCAGTCGTGTGTTGCGGAAACTTCAACGAGGAGGAAAAAGGGTTCCAAGGCTGGTGTGAATATTTGTGCAAATAGTATTAAATGTGCGTGCGTGTGACCTTACGGAGAAGAAACAAAAGGGGGGCAGGGCGAAATTGGATAGACGAGTCCGCGTCAAGTGTCTTGTGGGTTACGGACCAGAGGTCACCCAGATAGCTTATTAAATATTGAAGAGTTTAAGCTTAATTAGGCACAAGAGCAGTAAAAAGGGAAGCTATCCCAGTGGGAGTCCGAAATTAATAAATAACAGGCAGCAGCTTGGCTTTAAGTTTTGCCTTGGGAAACTTTTGTGTTGAATTAAAGTTTCCCCCAGAAAACCTGTATTGAATTTTCACCTTAAAGATAATCAAAGTTATCTTTAGTAGAGAGAAAAACCATTATTGTGAAGCACTAGGAAAACAATTGTCAAGTAAGTCTTAGCCTGTCTTCAGGGAAAAACTAAACCTAGGTAAGTACATGTGTGTGTTGGCAAAGCAAACATGGCCAAGATAAGAGCGATAAGAGCTCTCCCTCTATATTTTCAGGAGCAATAACGATAAGAATGCGGATATAACCTCAGCTCAATGGGAATTTTATGCATATGTCCTGTCTGTTTTTCGTGTGTATTTAAGCGTTTGCATTAAACGATACACTCTCATTCTCGTCTCGTATCGTTTCGTCTCCGTGTCTTGTGTGTCCTTAGCCATTTTTCGGCACTTTAGCTAATTTATGTAAATTGTTTTCTTATTTAATTGTTTTTCTTGCCGAGAGACATGTGTTGTTCAGTCGCCTCAGCCTCCTCTGCGTGTGGCAGGCTGGCAGCGCCTGCTCGTGCGTCCTGAGTGTGTATTCAATAATGTGTTTCTCATGCGATTTATGTTTTGGTCCTGAGTGTGACAAGAATGTCCTGGGTATTAACTACACTGGGCAACAAAATTTATGACTCCAGCGGGGCCAGCAAAAGGAGGTCCCGCTGGGTGATGCGAGAGCCTAGGCAGCAGCTACGAAAATTAAAATAAATCCGCCATAAATAACGGCCAAATCAAATGCAAACTGGGCCTCGAAACAGATATATGTATAATAGAGACTGCATTCTTTACTTGAATATTTATTTAGATTTCGGTTGAGATTTGCTTTCAACAATAAATTTAAATTCATTTAACATTTTTGCCAAGAGCAATAAGTTATTCTAACATTTTCTGGCAAATGTTTTTCTGCATTTTCTATTGAAAATGGCATTGAATTAAATATATAAAATATTTTTCAAGCCTCTAAAGGATTTTAAAGGTATTTTTTATAAATGTTTTTGATTTTATAGATTGTTTATTTATTTTTCTTGACATTTATTTGCTTAGAAAATATTCTCTCTTTGGTTTTCTGAATTTGTTGCATACTTTTAGATGCCATTTAAGGTGATTTAAAATCTCTAAAAATTACTTGAGAAGTTTTCAAATTAAATTTATGGGTTTTTGTGGCAAACTAACATAACTTTTAGATTTATATAAATAATTTTAAATTTATTTCTATGCAAATATTCATTTAAAAACTCCTACATTTATGCGATTTCCAAACAGAGTTTAAGTCTCTAAATATTCTTTGTGGTGTCTTATGAATATTTAACCCGCTTTACTTCAGTTTTGATGGAAAATAAACAAAACTTTTCAGATTTATGTTAGCAACTTGAACTCCCAGCTTCGCAAAATATATATTTTTCATGCAAATATTTATTGAAATAATTTAGTTTCATATTTTCTGCAGTCTAAACTTTTGCTGGACAGTTTTTCTATTTGGTTTTTGTCGATTATTTTTGGTTGAAGCAGACACAAACACGTCGCCCTGTGTCACAGCTGGCGAGTTGACCAAATATGCTGTTCTTCTGTTGCTTTGGCTATGAAAATAGTGTCAATATCGGGTAGCAATCAATTCGAGTTGCTGTTGCCAATGTAATTGTGATGATGGTCTACGATGCTGGATTATTAATAATATTGGCTCGCTGGCAAATAGCTAAATTACAGATAATACCTGATTCCCTTAATTGCCATTTGCCTTTCGCCTTTTTGCCGCTAATTGCAAAATCAATGTGGGTGTGCCGTGTGTGATTGCTATGAAAATTACATTTCAATTAAAATTACAAAACACACATCAAGTCACATTTTGTAAGTGAGGTGTAAATTATTTAGGCAATGATAGTTTTGTGAATTCGATTACGAATTATTTAGCAATTTGTCCAATAAACATACCGAATGCAAATGCAATTAGCTGGAAATTTATGTCGTTTCGTTTAAAAAGGCAAAGAGCGTAGAGGCTCAGCGGGATATATACGTATATATATCGTACCCTCGTCAAGGAGCAGGAAAGCAATTTTCAATTTGAAAGCATTTAGTTATCGGAGAATAGAAAAAAAAAATTAAGAAGGGGCAGTCGCAGGACTAATGCCCTTTCTGCGTGCCAAATCCCGGGCCTATGCTGGTGTAAGGGATATACTCGTATCAGATGTGTGTGCTGGGTAAATATATTCTAAAATCAACAAGCAGGACAAGGCAGGACAGCACAGGACACTGGGCAGGACAGGGACTAGTGAGTGGCACTAAATGGATGTGGATCTAGGCAGTGTGTGTGTGCGTGTGCGGGTAAGTGTGTTGACATGTAACTAAAGCACGCATGTGAGGCTAGATTCGGGGCCGGGCCGGACATTGCAGGGCCAGGACCAGGGACCAGGACATCGGGCCAGGACATGTGTACGATTGGCAAATAGCGGACAACTTGTCTTGTTTGCGCATTGAATTTGTGATTCCAATGACTTTTTGCCAGCTCTCCCTCTCTCTCTCTCTTGAATCTTCCCTTTAGTTGGTCTTCTATGCACACACGTGGCTTTGAACAGATGCGGTTAAGATAATAGAAATTATAATTGAGAGCCGTAGGAATTACATTATCGCAAAGAGGTTGAGCTGGAGATTAAGGTCTTTAAAGAAGAAAATTTAGTTAAAAGTAAAGAAAATGTTTACAAGATAATCGGTATTTGAAATCACTTTAAAATATGTCTAAAAGTATGCTATGCTATCCCACAAGTAAAGCTTATTTTTCATTGTATAAAAACTTCCAAATTAGTTAAAATTTTTTTAAATAATTTTGTATTTCTTATTTGGTACATTTCTCTATAAAGTGTTGATATAAAAATTACTTTTATCTTATGCTTAGATAAATGTTTGGCTACTTTAACCAAACGAGTAAAATCTATTGCATAGTTTTAGGTGGTTTGGTAAGTGATTTTAAAACTTTTTCGCTTATCTTGGACTGTTTCTAGTTTTGTATAATATTAAAAACTTTTAAAATATGCCTTTAAGCATGCGACTAAAATTGTTAAGATATTTTCACACAACCGTGAATCATATTTTACACTTTTATGTGGCTTTACAAATTATTTAAAATATTTTTCCTTAATTTCTTTTCATTTTTCTGTTATATTCCAACAACAACTATTATTTCAACCGCAACTGTTCTACCTGCACATCGTGTTGGTAAGTGGTTGCAAACATTTCTACGTCAAATGGTCATTTTCAATTTAGTCAGCACTAAGCTTAGGCTAAGTAGCAGCTGCCCAGCAGCAGTAGCAGCAGCAGCTTTCAGGGCAAAACCAGATTGAAAAAATAAATATATAAAAGTCAGAGTTGGGGTGTTAGGGAGCCAAAAGTAAACCCAATTTCAGATACCCTATCGCGTGCGGAGAAAGTTAAAGCAAACTCGAAACGAAAATTAGTTTTTAATTTCGTTGATAAGAGCAACTTGGAAATACTTGAAATTTCTTTCTTTCTTCTTGGAGCCAAAACAAGAAGCAACAACAGCAACAAAAAAGAACACACAACAAAATTACAATTTCAGCCAGAGAGACTTTTGGCTTGAACACATCCTGTGCGTATTAGTTTGACCAGCTGCCGCATTAGGGGGCACAAACTTCTGGCCAAAATGGAGAAAACTCACACTCTCATTCTCCTCAGACACTCACAAGTCAGGACAAGCTGCCACTTATCGCTCAACTTTCTGCCAAGAAGGCTTTAATGTCCACGTGGCGTATGCTTAACTTAAGCTACTCAATCACTCACTACCTCACTCCTTCTTCGATTTTTCTTGTTGCGAGACTAAAGTCTCCTTTTGGCAATGCATATTTTATCACTCTGGATGATACAGCCTAATTACAGTCCATTTCCCCGGCCCCCAGAATCCCCCTGGGTTGAGTTTCTTGGCCGTATGCTATGCATATTTAAATTGAAAGGCATAATTTCATAAGGTACCAAAGGTCAGCCGAGACTCTGCCCCCGAGTAATGTGCATAGAAATTTCAGAACGTTGCCTGCGGTTTGGCCTTTGACTGACCCACGTCTTTGGGTTGAATTTGTGGCCTTTGCCGCTTCGCTCCGATCGACTGCATAATTGCACTGACCAGCCTGTGGTGGCTTGGGGTTTGAATAGCGGATTATGTGGGTATAACAGGGTGTCCTTTGGGTGAGAGTTTAGATTTTAAGGCCTAAAACAATTTAATGCAATTTTTAATGATTTTTTAACACTCGAGAACAATAGTAGTAGGCTTAAAATAATTTTTAAAGAATTTAAGAATATCTAATAATTGTTTTTTTAATTATTTTGAAGGTATTATTATCTGTTTAAGTTTACTTAAAGATGATCTAGGCACCTTAAAATATTATTAAAAATATTATAATTAAGTTTCATGATTTTCAAAAGTCTATAAAATATTTTTTTTTAATTCTCCTTCGAGTTTAAGTCTATTATTTAATGATATCTTATTATTTAGCATTTTAATAAAATATCCAAAAATTAAGTTTAAGCCTTTTAGGTTTACCCACTACCCTTTCGCACATTCCCCTCTGAAAAAAGCACCCTTCTGTATCCGATTAATAGCCTTAGTCCCCTTCAATTTTGACTGTGACTCAATTACGTTTAGGGAATATGAAGGCCAAAGCCTATATACCATTATACCTGATTATTATTGACCGCAGCAGCGACGGGTCGTGGTCGCCGGCGATGTATGCGCTTGCGGGCAGTTTGATAGATTTTCCAATACAGCGCCAATATAACCAGCAGCGGCACATAGAAGGTGCAACAGGTGGCAAATACCTGGGGGATACAGTGTTAAAATTGAAAGGGGAGCAAAAATAAATTATATCCCCACCTGATAGGACACATCCTGTGAGACCATACATTTTTGCTGCTCAATTCGCTGCAGATAATCCGGATCCTTCCAGCCAAACTGTGGAGCCAAAGAGACAATCACCGCCGCTGTCCAGACACAGAAAATCATCATAAAGACACGATTGCTGGTCCGCGAGTGTATATAGTCGATATTGGTGACTGCCCAGTAGCTGGAAATAATAGATAATAATTCATAAAAATAATTGATATAACTTTTAAATAAGATCTAGATACGTGAAAACTCTATATTTTCAGTAAACTTTCATTGTTTTAGTTTCTGTTTATATTTCACCTTTCTAACTTTTATAAAACCCTCAAAAAAATCACACAAAACATTCACACACAGATAATAATTTGAGTTCCACTTGGCTTAAAGCACTTTCCATGATATTTATGTAGAATTGTGGGCAACACTTGAACATGGTCGCTTAGTTACTCCATTATCCGAATCCACAAAAATTCAAATGAAATGCTGCATAAATCTAGGCGCGCACACACACACAGATAATACCATATGGCATAGAGAGAGAGAGAGTGAGAGAGAGAGCGACAAAGTAAAGAAACGTGTTCGATATTCAGTTTCCGTCTCCCAGTTTCCCGTAGCGTTTTGCAACAACCTTTTTTGTTGATTTTTTCTATTTGCCATTGGTTTTTGGGCCCAAAAACATGTTTTATGTATGTCTGCCTGAAGCTGTGTCTCTCGGTGTGCCAGGCATTTTTAAAATATTTCCTTTTTTTTTTTTGAGAAGATTGGAAAAATAAGGCTACTCTTTAAGGGTCTCCACTTAATGACACCAGAAATTCAGCTCACATTTTGTATTTTTGTATTTTTTTTTTTGAATTTCTTTGACCTGGGTTATCTTGGCTTAAATTGAGTTAGTCCTTGTTGGCTATTTTTGGTCAGAGACGCTCAAGTGTGCGGTGAGAGCATTCCCCATTCGCTGTCTGCCACTCAAATTCGATTTCGTACTCTGGGTAGTTTCCCATTTTTCGGTTTTTGGGGCTCAACAACATGCCTAAACGAGTTTTTAAAACGTTACGTGGCATGTAGCAGAGTCGTACACCACACACACACACTTTCAGACACACCACATACTCACAGGCACACTCACAGACTCCGCTTAATGTCGAACTATCTGAAGTGCGGGGCACATTATGTGCTGCTTCTGCTGATGATGTTGTCATTAAATTGCTAATAGCCCAAGAGAAAGGGGTGGAAATACAGATAAACACGCGTGGAAAATTTTAGGGAATTTAATTTGGTAAGGGTTACCAAGTTTTATGTTTAAAAAATTCATTAAAATATGATTATTAGCTTTAGAATATTTTTATGAATTTGGAGAATATGGAGAATTTAGAATTTTCATCAAATAATTTGTTTTTAAAGGTAATTAAATCCGTAAAAAAATTAAAAAAAAAACTGTTTATATAAAAAAAATATTTAAGAAATATATAAATTTGAAATTTCACATTTATAACTTAATTTTAGAATATATTTACTATTTGTTAAAGCTTATTTTAAAGGCTTAAGGATAATTTTTCAAGAAGTTAAATATTTAAAATAACGTTAAATATTTTATATATATTACATATAAATCTTAATATTTATTTATTATATTTTAAGAGCTGTCTAAGTTTCTATTTTCTTTAAAAAATTTCTTATAAATACTTATAAGATTTTGCTTTCAAAATTGTTCCCTTGGGGCTTACATTATAAATAAAATATATATTAAATAGTTCAGAAAGCCTATGATTTTCTTTTTAAAAATGACTTTAAAATATTTAAAAAATATATCCCCCTGTGTATATATATTTTGTCATTCCAAAGGCCCCGCACCCAAACCCAAACTGATGTTTCCTCTCATCTGCGTTGCGGCTTTTGTGGGAATTAACGCCAGGCAACCGCAAAATTTCAAAATTTCTCACATGCTAAGAAAGAGGGGAACGTCTCCTTTCCTTTACTTTCTCTTCCTTTCCTTTCCTTTTCTCCTTCAATTTCCTCTTAAGGCCGCGCTGCGATGACCGCAGAGCTTTAAGTGGCAACCGGAAACAGTCATGGCAAACACGTGTTTATGTATTAATTAAATGCAATTTGCATAAACAAATATTATGTTGGCTTGAGTCCCAGCTGAGCTGTGTGCCACTAAGCTCTGTCGAGTGTGTGTGTGAGTAGAAATCAACAATTAAATGAGTTGACAAAGCACTCGAAATGAGCCATAGATGGGATCTATATATGTATATATCTATGTTTCGTATGTGTTTGCGGCAAGGGTAAACCGATGTGAAGTGCCGTTACGACCATATATAGAGCATAATTTAATTTGTCTACAATTGGGCACTCAAATGACAGCTTTATAAATATTTGTACATGCCGATATTTCAAGTGCCACTTAATTAAGGGAATTCGGAAAACTAAATTTTTGCATTGCCCCTTTGTTTCTTTGACTTGCCATCACGCATACGCCATGTGTGCCTCGCAAATAATAATAATAATAAATAATAATAATGACTGATGATGATGACTGCTTCGATGGATGGCCAATGACTTATGTCTGGCATTTGGCAACTGACTTGCTACCAATCCTTGTCTACGACAGGACCACCGTCCTCCGCCAAATTCATTAGCATAATATAATCGACTTCAAGTTGGCAATTTTGATTGACTGCTTAAAATTAATGGAATTTTGTGATTTCGCTGTCACTGTGCCGCATATATTTTATTTCCTTTTTTCTTTTTTTTTGAAAGGATCTCTCAGCTGCTGTGCCTTGCATACGCAATGAAAAATACATGCAAATTAATAGCGAAACCTAATAAAGTGTCTGTCATGCTTTTGTCAAAGCAGAGCAAAAAAAATACAACAAAATAAGTCTATACGATCAGCGAGGATAATAATTTGTTATGGAATGAAGTAGGCCAGCTTTGGCGTTCGAATTCAATTGAATTTGAAGTCAATCAATTTGCTGAGCTAAGTATCTAGCGACGCGACTTGAGTGATGAATTATAACAATTTATTTGTGAGCCAAACAATTTAAATGCGATTTTTCCATTATGCCTTGAGGGTGTCTATGGCTAAGTGGGTTGTGTGTGTGTCCCCAGTGTGTGTGTGATAAATGTGCGGCACTCGAGTGTAACACTTTTTAATGCACTTTTTAAAAATTGTGCGCCTAGCACACAAAAAAGTCATTACTCTTATGGTCTGACTGAAGCGAGGAAATTGAAAAAGAAAGTGGGTAGGCAGGATCCAGTATTGAGAGATCGACTAAGAGATACCCTGTACTTAAAGTTAGGCTATAAAAATATCTAAAAATATTTAGTCAAGCTGAATTTTAATAGAAATATAATTAGAAACAAATATTAAGCTTTAAAAATTTATAAGAACATGTTGATAGACTGAATGTTGCTAGCAACATGTGTATAAACACACGATTAATGTTGCAAGCCTTCGGCATGTTGCACAAAAACTAATTTGCTTTATATTTTCCATGTTTCTTATTCAAGTTTAATAAAATTTCGGATACTGTGCCACCACAATCCTGTTTATACATTAAAAACCTAGATATTTATGTTTGGTTACTAAAAATAATGTTTTTTTTTACGTTTTTTATGAAATGTTAGCTTGAGCTTTTATAGTATTTGGGATCTAGGTGTTTAAGAATAGAGAAAACCAGTATATATAGCTTTCCTGGAAGAGATACTTTTATTTTATATTATCCCTAAGTTAATATATCCTGCTACAGGGTATAAATATATGAAAAAATGTGCAAAGAAGGCTTCTAAAATATGGAAAATGTTGTATATACGAGTATGTATATCCTTATCTGTTCCTAATTATCTTTTTCCAAGTAAAAACAATGCCCAAAAGAAGCTTACTCATTATTCGAATTCAATCTTCTAAAAGTCACTAATTAATATTGTTTCCTAAATCAGCTTCACGCTTCCATATTCATTGTTCTTTTATTTTAAAAACCTAAAATCAGCTTGATGCATTTTATTACCACACATAAAAACTCATTAATATAAATCCATTTAGAACAAAAGGCGCGTTTTTAAGCTGTTTCATAATTAATTGAAATTTTATATATATTGTCAAGTGGCGACAGTCAATATTTATCTACGCATCGGATCGCTTCACATTTCCCCCCATTTCCATGCATATTTGATGCCTGCTGTTTGCTTTTTATGCTTTATGACTTTATTTTGCTCGCTTTTTGCCTTTATGTGTTCCCCGTTGTCTCTGCCCCCAGCTAATCGATTGCATTACATTCCAAATCAGCTCAGTGTTGAGCGGGGAATACAAAAAAAAATACAAAATAAATAAATAACAAAACAAAAAAGCATATTCACCTGCGGCTGCCCCTACTTTGTTTTTCTTTTTGCTTTGAAAAAAAGGGAACAATTTGTTGGTGGGGCTCACCTGTGCTGGTAATAGTTTTGTTTTGTTTTTATTTTGTTTTTGTTTTTGTTCTATGCCCTGCGGCATCTGTGTGGCATGATTAAATTTTTGCAAAACTACTCGCTTGCTCTCCTTTCCAGCAAAACAATGACTGTGTCTAAACAATAGATACATATCCCATTTCCACTACCGAAAATGAGTATGTTTTCTTTCTCCAGGATGATGCATTGCACTTATAATTTAAGTGGTGTTTTTAAGGACGGGGAAGATCAATAATTTAAGGTGGATAGTTGGGGTATAATTAGAAACACAATGTAGATTATAATTATTAAAATATGTTATTATTGTTGAAATAAAAATAAAAATCAATCAAAATAGTTTGATTTTTAAATTCTAAAAAAATTTTAAAAATTAGTTAAGTTACCTAATACTTAATTAGTCCAAAAGTTCTTTTAATAATTCTTAAAAAAATGTAAATAATTGGTTTGCTCGTTTAAATATAAAATAAAGCAAACAAAAACTCACATTTTCACACACTAATGACTTTGATCTTTCCTTTATTTATTTAAATATTTTTTCTATAAACAATTTTCATGCAAAACCCGTAAACTCGTTGACTTAATGAGCACTGTCAGTTGGTTTCATGTGGAAAGTGTGCATTTACCTTAGCATAATTGGCATTTAATGTGAAAATGTGGCAATGTGTCAAGTGATTGCTTTTTAACCAAGTTTTTTTTTCCTCAATTAACCATTAATTTTTAATTTTTTACTTGTTG